CCAGCAGCCATATTCCCATTATGGTAAATAAATAGATCACCACCTGCCAGAGGAAATCCTTTTTAACTTTGACATTAGTTATATTAATGCATCTGACTGATTTATTTTTGTGTCAAAGTTACCATATATTAAGATAGATTATATATAATATTTAGGGCATCATCAGAAGCCCATTCAAAGAAATGATAGCATGTTTGTGTTTCAGACGCCTTTTAAATCATTATTACACACCATGTCATTGATATTCATCACCATTCTGAGCTCCCCCACAACCACTACCCATCACTGCTGCTGCTCCCCACGGCCACTACCAGTCACTGTTGCTCCCCATGAACACCACCAGTCATTGTTCCTGTTTCTCACCACCACCATCAAAAGGTGTTCGTTTATCAAAGCCACCTTATTTCTACAAATATCTACCTCCACCATAATTCTTCTTATTTTGCCTACCATTATTATTTATAATGTCATTGTCTTTGCCATTTTTATCAATTTGATCATTATCTTGTCTTTATTCGCTTATCTCGGATGCAATTGCCAGTAGCACTGAGAGTCAATGCATAAAGCCACACATCAATGATTGTTACTGATTCAAGAACATTAAAAACAAAGGATATAACCTACTTTGGTGATCAATATTCACTTCTTTGAAAAATGGATGTTTCTCTGATTCCACATTTAAAAGCTGAACATTTTAATCTTAATTTTCATTAATCTCACTTGAATGATTCAATCTTATTTCTGCTGAATTTTGTGGGCACAAAAATCTCTTCATCTTTTTTTTTTTTTTTTTTTTTTAAATTATTATTGGTATAATCCATAAGCAAGGCAGTACAGCCACTAAGATGCAAGGGGTTATAGGGTGTGGAGGAATTAGCAACAGAAAAATTATAGAAAAGATTAAATGTTATAACATTTTATCAAGATGAAGTAGGAAGAAATTTATTATTTTGTTTTCTGTACATTAAGCCATACTTCAACAAATTTGCTTATTTCATATTTCTGTCACTACTGAAAATAACATGTACTCAATTTTGTTTATTTGGTATTAAATTCTTTCAGTTAGCATCTTCCATAGTTTACATTGACTTTCACAGTTAGACTTAAGAATATTTATGAACATGCTTAAATTTAAATGTTTTGAAAACTTAACAATATTTTTTACTTCTGTTTATAAATACTTCTTGCAAAATAAAATCCTTACATTTGTTTTGATAAAATCCATCAGGATGGAATACTTTGGTAAAGAAGAACATTCCTTTTGTCTTTATTCATATTGTCTTTCTACAGATATATTTTTATTTTAATACTGAATTCTTACACACACACACACAATTTTTGTTTGTATAGCAATCAAGTTGAAAGGTAATTTTCTTGCAGACTTTGAGTTATTGGCATTAGCTGAGTTCATCTTTGATTTAAATTTAACATTTTGCAAACAAGGTGAAAATTTATGATGTGAGGGCTGCTGAAAAATTCTCAGCCCAATCCATTTTCCAAAATCTGACCAAATATCAGATATTTTTCTTTTCTTTTTTTGAAAGGGCTGAGAACATCAGCTCCTCATGCTATTACAAACTATACCTCGTCTTGCTTTTTAGCATAAAACCCTTTGACCAACTGATCTAACAGCATAAAAAAAATCATAGGGAAGACGTTATTTCTAATGATAATAAGAGAAAGAAAAGTGAAAGTGAATCATCTTAAGATAAAAAGGAAATGGTTTAAATATGTTTCACAGTGAACATAAGACTTAAGACATTAGGGAAAGAAAAATAGATCTTATGCTTTGATCTTGGGAAGAAAGTTAAAAACAAGACAAAACTTTGATCTCAGAAGATTAAAAAAAATCAAGAAGGATTTGACAGAGAACTGGATCAAACACATGGTTCTAATTCTATTTGACTAATCTTTTTAACACCTCAACACAGCACTGCTTATATAATTACCAGCATTAACACTATTGCTTCAGTTCCATAAGGATTTGTGAGAAGACAAAAAATAGGTGGTTGTGTAAAACTATAATTTAATTTTTTTCAGCAGTGATTACATTTTGAATTTTGGTATTTGCATGGGTGATGAATAAACTGATAACAAAAGCAAGATAGCAAGTGTTAAAAAGGGGCAGATAACTTCAATCACTATTATCAAAAATTCTTGATAGTGTCTTTCATAAGCACTTGGCATTACTACCTCACAAATAACTAATAGTTTATAGATATGGTTGGGAGGACATTGTCAAATGTAAATTCATTAACAGCTCCATTTGTTTATGAATAATTAATGTCCCTGATTAATAATTTAAAAAAAATTTTTTAATGTATATATACATGTGTGTTGTCATTGCTTAACATGAAATCATTTTTATAATAGAAAAAATTATGCTTTTCTGACATACAATATAGAGTGTATTTTACTTGCATCATGTTGGCAAGGTACCAAATAAGTGTATTTATTAAGATATCTTTAATGATCTTGTCATGTATTGGTGGCTACAATTTTAACATTAGATATGTAGATGGCGCAGTGTTGATAGCAGACACAGAAAGGAAAATACAGGAACTCCTACAGAAGGTTGGAAAGGAAAGTGAGAAGTAAGGACTAAACATCAAATCTAAGAAAATAGTATATATGGTTGCTAGCGAAAAAGATGAGCCCAACATGCAAATTACTAAGGGGAGATGCCAAAAGTAAACAAGTTCAAAAGTTTAAATATCCAGGAAGTATTTTAACAGATTACGGCAAGTGTGACACCAAACTCTAAAGGAGTATTGGGATAGCAAAAGATGCCATCCAAAAGCTAAGTATGAAGAAATGGGAAAATCTTGTTAGAAACAAAGAAAAGAGTACTTTGGTGTTATGTAATATTGATCCTTTTATAAGAGATAGTTAAAATTTCTAGGACACATAATGAGGAAAGAGGGCTTAGAAAATTTGATACTTCCAGCATATAATAATAAGGCAAGATGGATAGAGGAAAGCTGTGCCTAACCTACCAAATTGAACTTGTTAGCAGAACAGGGGTTAGGAGAGATAATGAAAAGACGTAACTCACTAAGAATGACAAAGAATAGGAAAATTGTGGAGAGTCATGATTGTGCACATCCTGATGATGACACAGCATATGGAAAAAAGTATTTTCTAATAATTGATCATAAGGTTTAGAATCTGTAATAAAAGTTACAGGCTAAAGAAGAAATCACTATTTACATTACAGATACTAAAGAAGAAATACTGATAACATCACTAAATTTCTGGGATGAGGAGTTACCTTGACTTACATTTGGACTATTGTCCTCATTTTTGCTGTTATTATCACAATGTTTTGACTTGTGTACTCTACAGCCTTAATCAGGGAATTTCAAACTGACCCTTTTTTTTTTTAATCTGTGGGCTGTTCTCATTCTACTAACCATGTCTAGGTATATTTGATCTTATTTAGTACTGTAATACAATAGTACAATTTCAATTTCTCTTTTTCTCTGATATTTAAAGGTTTTTTGGGGTTTTTTTTTATTTCATGTTTCTAATTTTACAGACATTATCATTCAAGGACTATTTTAATATAGTACCCATCAATAATGATGAATTTATTTACATATGGATCTGCACTTGTGCCTAGGGTCAGAGGGTGTGCACATTGAAAAGTTTTACTCACACACATATTTGTGCATATGTGTTAATTTAGTGTGAGCAAATAATAAGGATTGATTATTAATACAAGGACCAACTTGAACTATGCCCAACAACCCTTAGTTCAACTAGTTCAAACCTTTATAGCTATGTCCACAGAATCCCATCACCCACATTTCTTCTGTATTTCAATTTTAAATGAAAATTTGTTCTGCAGCTTTTCCCCCAAGAACTAATACTTTGTGGAACAATCTCTCACATGGATGCTTAATGCAATAATGTTAACTTAGTCAGGTGCTCACTATTCTCCTTTTCCTCATGCTTGGGAATACCAGTTTCTGTAATTTTAGATATGCGAGTGGTGTAATGGGTAATGGCTTTGAATTAGAAATCTGAGCAGAGTTCCAATTCCAGTTGGTTTGTTATATTCACTTACACGCAAATACCTTCAAGAAAGTTATGACTCCATCTTTTCTTCCCCCAGCTATGGGTTAATTATTAGAACATATTAGTAAAACATTATGTCCAAAAAGATTAATTAGCCTTAAAAAGCAAATCAATCAATCTTTATCCTCATTTCCTTCTACCGCCTATTATATTCATATCACACGCCTAATTCACTCTCTCCCATGTGTAATCATGTGTAATGCTTGGGTCTTGTATTGGATGAACTGTAATTTTAAAAGAATTTAAAAACAAAAAAAAAATAGAAGATCCCATTCATAATGTGTGTGTGTGTGTGTGTGTGTATATATATATATATATATATATATATATATATATTCTTTTCACTATATTTTGCTTGGTTTATTTTACAGCCTTCTTTGGCAAGAGAAGAGAGATTTTTATTTCATTTTTTTACATCAATATTAGCAAACTTTTTTTTCTCTAGTCTATTTTCAGCAATCTGGATGACAAATGATTCCATATGTTTTATACACTAGGATGATTTTTTTAAAATTCTTTCTGTACTATACAAAGAATTCTACACTGACTTTGTTTATCTTTGAGGCTAATATATACAGCTTCCTTCAGTTTTCTCACCTTCCAGGAATGTTTTCTATGTATTAATTGGACTTCATTCCAGTGATGTTATGGTAATTGATGAAAGGGAAAAAAAGCTTCACTAATTCAAACAACTCTTGGAAAGATCTTGATTTGTTGCATAATTTAAAATAAAAGGCTCAAGTTTAACTAATAAATCAACATTTGGTGAGGAAAATATAAATTATAGTTTTCAATCTGGCTTAAGTCAGAATTTCCATATTCTGCCATCTTTGATAAGCATTGATTTTACTTTCTTTCTTTTATTTCTCCCATTGTTAATATCCTACATTTATTTACTTATTTTTTTCATACTCCACCAGGTTCGAAATGATTACATGCGGGACATTGCAGAACACATAGATCCTGATGTTGCTATCCGACTTGGCTGTATAGAAATGAGGTAAGCATTTATTGTCTTCATCCTGACTTTTGAATTATTAATGATTAGGCTGTACTGTTCAGTTTGAAGATTAAATGACAGTTTTATTTTATATCTTGTTGAAAAAAGGCTAGGGTTATATCTAATATTTTGTGATATTTCAGAATTATTTTAGACTTTCAAGAAACTGAGGCTACAAAGATTTAAGATTTCAATCTTGGAGCAATCTTTAAACCATAGTACTTTATGTATAAATCCACTCTGTGTGGTTAGAACATTTGCTTTCAAACCATAAGACCAGAGTTCAAATTTCAAAATACTCAATTGTTAGGGTGGTGATCCCAGTATGTGGCAACAATGGAAAGTGCCGAAAAATCATACCACAGATTAATCCAAGCCCTCTGAGTGAAATTGGATAGAAGAAACTGCTTGGAGGTTGCCGATGCTTGTGCTAACACGATGTAATGAAGTGTTTGAGTATATTGGTCTTGTTCAACCTGTTAATCATGCCAGGTTAGGTACTCTCTCCCATAAACTGTAACTAACATCAGCACAGTTTACTTGCAGAATATGGGAACACAAATATGCCTGAGAAGTCGTCTGCAAAAGGGATTGACTAGTTGCTCTACCAAACAGATGTACTCAGAAAACAAGTAACCACCCATATATATATATATATATATATATATATATATATATATATATATATATATAATGTGGATGTGTCATAATTTAACAGTTATCAGTACAGAAAATGGTGTCCAAATTCTGGTAAATTCAGTTTCATTCATTTCATGTTAATGCAATTGAAAAAAGGCATGACTCCATCTGCTTCCAGCTATGTGTTAAATAGCAGGGTAGATTGGGTTCTCTAGCTTTGGTAGGTAACCAGTCTAGAAGAAGGGAAACTTCTGAAGAGGTCTGTTTCAAGATTTTGTGGCACATGATGCAGCATTTTCTCTGTTGTCAGATTTTCTGAAAAGTGTTGCTGTTTCTACACAATCCTTCACCAATTTCATAAAATCATCTGTGTGGGTGATTGAGCAGTTTAGTTTTATTTATACTCCCTTTGATTCGGATCATTTTTCTGGTTTCAATTCTGACCATTTTCCTGGTTTCCAGGAAGAGTTTGAACATAAATTGTCTGTCTTGAGCACTTCAGGCTATCATAAACCATTATCAAAGAATTGCCTGTGGATTGAAAAGTTTGTGTCTACATGCTTTTTTCCATTTTGGTTAAAGCTTTGTATTTGTAGTCATTTTTACAATTTGTATGGTATGGTTTAGTATTTTTGAATTACTGACAAATATTTGTTGGATTTCTTGTGTTGGTTGATATGTAATTTATTTGACCTCAGAAAAAAAATAAAAAATAATAAAAATACAAATACCATATATACTTGTGTATAAGCTGACTTCATATATAGCACAACCCCTGAGCTTTTGTGGATGAATTTTAATCCCTACCCTCCAGAAAAAATTACCTGTACATAATGCAAACGGTCACCAAAAATGCATGATTTTTAACCTCTTCAAAAAAAAATTACTTATGTATATATAGTGTGATCCCTTATTTTTTGCATAAAAAAACTGATCATAAAAATTTGCACTATACTCCAGTATATGTAACAATAATAATACAAAAAAATATTAAACTATTCTACAGAAATATACTATACAATAATCACTAATTCGATGAAAAATTATAACAAACTTAATACACTGATATATATATATATATATAACCCATCAATGAAACAAAATCTCATCACATAATACAAAAGAACTAAAAATCTTTAATATGATCAATATTAGCAATACAACAAAAATTTAAATCTTCAACAGACCAATGTTGTCTATAAAACTTGCCTGCTTGGAAAATACCTCTCTGTGAATAAAAATTCAAACCACATATACATTGGTTACGTAATCACTAGATTATTCATCTGGTTAACTTGTAATTTATCTGAGAGTGGCCCAGTTAAATCTCATATCACAAACAAACACAACACAAAATGAGAAATCTGACAAATATTTGTCGGTAATACAAAAATACCATATCATATAAAAAGTAAAACATGACAAATATTAATCTTAACTGCAAGAAATCCACTCAATATCAACAAAATTTAATTCAGTTTAGTGAACAATGTCACTAAATATTTCACAATTTAATAAATATACACCACAAAATGGCATATGAAATGTGATACTTGAAAAAAACTGATACAACACCTATTCTGTGTGAAAAACCACCAAGGAACCACAATGCATGTCTATAAACACAACCTTATTAACCCACAAAAAAATTTCTTTAATAATAGCTTATGAAAGCAGAAAGTGTTCAGCTGACATTAGAAAATTTATGTTAAACTCTCCCTGGGAACCAGAAAAATGGTCTGAACCAAAAAAAAAATTAAAAAATCTCCAACCAAACCTGCAAAAATGAGAAATTGCTATACACAGTGTGTGTGAGAAGGGAAACTCTTATTTCAGACTGACTTGGTGTACATGTGTCAAGAAGGGCATTGGTTGTAAAAAAAAAAAAAAAAAAAAAAGAAAAGAAAAAAGCAAGCTTGCTCTGATCATTCAATGCAACTAATCTGCTATCAGCTCTTCTGGTAATACGGGGTAGGCGAGATGTTGAGAAGCTAGATTTGGACTTGTGCAAAACCTTATTCATTAAACTGACCAAAATCCTCATGGGAGATCGCATTTGAACTGAGCATTGGAGAAAAAATGGACGTTATATGAGAAGAGACATAACAAAGTGATTTTGCAACATAACAACACTAGGCCACATGTTGCAAAATGGGTGAAAACCTACTTGGAAACGCTTAAATGGGAAGTCCTACCCAACTCATTGCCCTGTCCATTTATCACTTATTCCGATCAATGACACATGGCCTGGCTGAGCAGCACTTTCATTCTTATGAAGATGCAAAGAAAATGGGTCGACTCATGGTTAGCCTCAAAAGACATTACGTTTTTCTGATGAGGAATTCAAATGCTGCCAGAAAGATGGGAAAAATAGTGACTGGCGATGAACGATACATTCAGTGACATGTTTCTTATTAATTTTTGTAAATAAAACCATTACTTTTCATGAAAAATCAGCAAGAGCTTATTCAGATATATATATATATATATATATATATATATATATATATATATATATATATATATATATATATATATATATAAACATTATTTTTAATGGATACTCATATTTGAGTAGATGCTGTGTGTTTATTAATAAACAATATATTTATTTACATCTACTGGGATGAATATTCGAGAAATCTTGTTAGGTCAAGGCATATCAGATCTAATGATGGTTTTCCCTAGGGGATGCAAATTTGACTCCTGCTAAAAGGTGCATATTTTTCTAACAAGATTTCTCAAATACTCAGCCCAGTAGATGTAAATGAATATACTGTTTTATAATAAAATAATACACTGATAATAATAAATTGAAAATGTGTGTCTGTGTGCACAAGAATCTTTAACCACAAAAAGAAACAAACATCCCAACATCAATAAAATATTATTCCCTTGAACCATTTTACATAATCACAATGGATATTTGAACTTTATTGTATTCTTTTTAGTTGGTGCTAGTAGGTTTTACTGATGTCTAATCACAATTTAATTTTCTCTTACACCTTGAATGTTGATCTTTAAATGTGTGAAAATTTAAAATGTTATATTTTTTAAATGAGAACAAAAACTGATATTTTTCTTCTCTTGCATAAACATTACCTTGATACACTCTTCTTGTGGTTTTCAATTTCTACAACTGAACTGTTTCCCCATATGTAAACACTAATCCATTCTTCTTGTAGAACATAAAATGATTATTCATCTTAGAATATTAGAGGAAATTTTAACAGAAACATTTTCAGATGTATTGTCAATTATTCTTAGCTTTTTTGGTCTTGTAATTCATTACAAGAATCGTTTCCTACTTTCTTGGTTTTCTGGAATTGTTTGTTCTTTGTGCAGTTGCTCATCCCATTTCTGACCATCTACTATTGAATTCCATTATCCTCCTAGATTGTCTATCAAGGCTAGAGAGATCAGTCTGCCTTGATATTTTACCCATAATTTGAAAGGGAGAAGAAATAGATTAATATCTTTTTCAAGAATATTCGTCCAAAATGAACATAAATTGACACATCCAGAATTTGCACTAACCTCTTTGATTCCATTTTTCTGTGTTATTAACCATTAAACCATTTTGCATCACTGGTCTTTGAGAATTACTTGAAATCATTGATTAGAACAGCCATTCAATTTGAGTGTTTAGTCTTTGTTCTTAATGGAGTCCTTTTGTGTTGTTATAAATTGAATAAATTCTAAACATTTTCATTTGTTATTTTCCAATCACCATCATCAAATATGGAAGAAATTTTTACAATTGTTTTGCAGTGCTAGAATTTTAAAAATGTTGCTACTTTGGATTGTTTCATCATTTGTTTTTATTCTGGAAGTTAAGGAACTTTTCACAAAAAAATTCTAATGATGTAGTAATATTCTTAAAAATAACTCATTGGAATCGAGTTTATTTTTAGTTTATTGTATTTTGACCAGCAGTTTTCCAGTCATCATGAGATGATAGAGAAAACAACAGTAAAAGCTTTGTTTTGATTATTGAATGAATTACTTTAAAATGTATTTATAGGAAGGTACCAAATAATTTTAAGATATTTTAAGAAACTTGTACATTAAGGGTGTGTATTGGAAGTTTGTAACACTTGATTAAATCTTTTATACTCTGATCATATGAAAAGTTCAGTTGCTTTTAAAACTAGCAATAATAAGAGAAAAAACTCAAAGCATTGTTACATATTGCATCAAATATATTTTTTTACACATAAGTGAAACTGATTAACTTTGATCTGAATCAGATCAGAAATAATAAAAAAAATAATTGTAACAAACTGACTGTAAAATTTCACATTTTTATGGGTTAAATAGTTGAATGTACTCTGTCCTATTGTCATGTTGCATGCATCCCCAACCTATTGTCATGTCACATGTATCCTGACCTATTGTATAGGTAATTTATTAAGCTTACTCTTAGGCACCTAATAAACACAGTGGTGTAATATTTTTTTTTCTCTCTTTAAAAATATTTACCACCTACCCTGAGTTGATTAAGACGATCCTTTTTTATTAATTCTGTACTTTTTTGCACTTTAAATGACTCTCCAATCCTTTCCCCTTTTATTAAGACTCTACTACAGTTTATTACACATTTAAAAAAAAAAAAAAAATTCTGACCTCACTTTCACTTTGATTATTAAGACTCAACCCCCTTTGTATTAGGAACCTAACAGTATGTCACAAGTAGGAGACAGTGATTGTCAAACTCACTAATTTAGACTGCTAGGCTAGCTTGCTAATCTTGGTTCGATAGTCACGCATTTTACCTATTATAATAAATGCATGTTAGGGTTCCTTTGACAAACCAGCTGAGAAGAGAAAATAATAATTTAAACTTTTTAGGCCTGCTTGCATTTTTTTTTTGTCCCATGAAAAATCTTTTTCACTCTTTTTCTTTATCTTATGAAAATGTTGATCATTTCTGTCAATGAGATGAAATGTAAAGTCAAGAGATGAGAAAGAAATGAAAATGCTAAAACAAATATAGCCTGGTTTTGTTTATAATGTATTATTTTCTTTTCTTAAATTTTCTCAGGTGAAAATCTGACAATGTTCTAAAATCTATTGATTCTGTCACGGCATAAAATATGCTTTAAAAAAAAATGTGCATTTCAATTATTTGAAGACTATTTAGTTTGCAAATCTTTCATAAAAAGGCTTCTAACTAATTTTGATGAAATGCTTCTAAAATCCTACTGTAAAACTTTGAATTGGGTACTTTTGTAAATGAAGTTCCTAGAATGTTGTCTATAAATTCACTCTCTCTGATATTCAATTTTTGCTCACTGTGCTCAAAGGCAAAATCATTTTATCTCTTGGAATCAAATAAGTTCATTTTAATTCTGTAGAATTCTTTTTTTACTTTTTCTGCTTCTGCTTGGATTGATTTTCAAGGAAAAATAATTTAAAAAATACAATTTTGAAACAGAAATTTACCAATTGTGAAAATACCGGTGCTTTCACACATCAATTTCTATTCAAAGATTTAATCAAAATATTTTGTTTGTGCATTATTGAAATATTTTTATTTGGTTTCTTCATAAAAGAAAATGTTATAAAATCACTATTGAAAGTGAATGTTTTAGATGAAGGCTCTTTTGTTTCAATATCAACATTAGTCTTTGAACCTGTTTTGTTGTGTATTATTACCATTTTTAATAGTCTTAAATTGATTTTTGTTTTAATTTTTAAACTTTTTTTTTCTTTTTATTCAGACGGTTCTTCAAGGACATGCCTAAGGCTGCCCTAGACAAGAAATCAAATTTAGAGTTCCTGGAGAAAGAGATTGGACTGAAAAGATTTTTACCTCGAAATGTCATTGAATCAATGAAGGTAATAATAACATTCAACATTACATTCCAAAATGCCTGTTATGAATAAAGTATTTGTTTAAAGAAAAGAAAATTGAAGATAATCAAATGTTGATTTTACTGAAAAGAATTTAAACAGTGTGCTTTCTATACATTGCACTAATTTCTGATTGATCCACAGTAAATTTACACCCCGGTTCATACAGTATGTCAACTTTCTTCACAAAACTATTGCTATTATAATGTGGAATATTCAAAAATAAGTTTTAAAAATAGAAGAAGTGAGAGTTTGAATAAGGTTGGTTAGACACATCAGATACCAGAAAATTAAAATTAACATTTTAAGTTAAGCATCACTATATGTTTAGCATTTTTTTCAATATATAATTATCACCAGTGTTTGTTATATTTCATTTCCTCCCACAACATATATATATTGTAACCTAGAAAGGATTACAGAATGAGGAATAATGAAAATGGAGGTTGGAAATGAAATGGTAATCTTTATAACATCAATAAGATACAACACTCGTCAGCAGTGTGAAGTGGACTAGTGGTGGACTCCTTAGACAGCATATTACCCCCATTTACAATAGTGTCCAAGGTATTTATGAGAATTGGGACATACCCATTAGTGTTCATAGGAATTGTATGTATATGTGTGTGTGTATATGTATGTATGTGTGTGTGTGTGTGTGTGTGTGTATATATATATATATATATATATATATATATATATATATATATATATATATATACGTGCACACACACACACTAAAAAGAGAGAAACTGCAAATGTTTTTAGTTGTAATGTGGATATTTTTTCCCAAAATATGCTTTATTTTCCATAATTTTGCTACACAGGTTTCCAGTCTTGTGGCCTTCATCAGGTAAAGTGTGGAGATTTCCACATATTATTAAAAGTAATTAATTTTTTTCTTATGTTTTTCGATGTTAAATATTCTCGATATGAGACATTCTCTTTTTTTGTGTGTTAGTGACTCAAATGTCTTCCTGAATTGGCAGTGAAAAGTTCTGCATGAAGGGTTATAAAACAATTAACATTGATCCGAGAAATGGTGAAAGAGTTATTCTTATCTTTTAATGAGCCCTGTGTGTTCTTAGATCTATTTTCATTTTTTTGTGTTTTTGTCAGCATGTGTATATGTATATTCCTTCTTCATACCTACACACTGTCTTATTACGAGGAGTTAGTAAACACATTTGTGCACATACACACACTTCCTATGCTGTGTAGTGTTCCCATGTGTGCCCGTTGTTTTTGCAAATGTGTGTGTGTGTGTGTGTATATATATATATATAAGCATGCGCATGTATATGCACACTTCCTCTCTACATACAGATACTGTCCTATTATATACTGTATATACTGATACATTATATATATACTGATTCTTTATATAGGACAGTATGTGTATGTAGAGAGGAAGTCGTGTATACATGCACATGCTTATATATATATATATATATATATATATATTGGCAAAAACAATGGGAACACATGCAAAACACTACACAGCATAGGACGTGTGTATGTGTACAAATGTGTTTACTAATTCCTTGTAATAAGATAGTGCGTATATATGAAGAGGGAATATACATATACACATGCTGACAAAAACACAAGAAAATAGAAATAGATCTAAGCACACACAGGGGTCATTAAAAGATAAGAATGCTGATAACTCCTTCACCATTTCTCGGACCAATCTTAATTGTTTTATAACCCTTCACGCAGAACTTTTCACTGCCAATTCAGGAAGACATTTGGGCTACTAAGACGCAAAAAAGAGAATGTCTCATATCGAGAATATTTAACATCGAAAAACATAAGAAAAAATTAATTACTTTTAATAATATGTGGAAATCTCCATGCTTTGCCTGATGAAGATCGCAAAACCAGAAAAATGTGTAGCAAAATTATGGAAAATAAAGCATAATATTTTAGAATAAAAATCCACATTACAACCAAAAATGTTTGTGGTTTCTCTCTTCTTTTTAATATACACTTTTCTCTCGTTGGAATCACTATAACCTCTTCCCTTTTTTTATATATATATATATATATATATATATATATATATGATCCCATTATTAAAAACATTTGGTTTGAAGGAAGAAATACACCACACTGGATTTTTTTTTCACATTTTGTCATCAAATTACCCCCCATTTTTCTGACATATAGAGTTTATATATCGTATCAGCTCCCATGAACAAAAGTTATAGAACAAAAACTCTTTATTACAAATATGTTTTTACCTTGTAGGCTCTCATTAGAGAATCACAAAGAACTGCACCAAATAACAGACCACATCACTTGACGACTTACAACAACAACTAACATGAATACTACATGTAACTCAGAGAAAATAATGGCATAATCAAGATGCTGACATTCCATACTACTTCAAACAAAAGGTTAAGAAGCCAGTCTCTGTCAATACTGGAAAGAGCAATAATGCTTACTGGACTTGAGCCATTGTAAAAGTGATGAATCAATCAGGCATCAGAATGCTACTAAAACAACAAAGGATAACAAAAGAAGTTACTATATCAAAGAGTGTAATTTCTAGAATAGTAGACCTTTGAATCACCTAAAACACTAGAGCAGACATGTAAAATAACTTGAATCAAGCAATTAAGAGTCTCTCCACTTTGGACTGCTTTGATATCCATGTGGGACTTTTATGTCAGATAACTGAAAAATTATGTATGAAAGTGTCACATCAGGCAGTTTTGTATTATTTGTGTGAAATCATCAAACCCTTATCAGCAAGAAGAACCAAAAACCTAGACTAGCCTTTGCAAATGAGAACATTGTTTGGACTAATGAAAATTAAACAAGATTGTTCTTCAGCAATGAGAGCAAGTTTAATTTAATTGGCTCTGATGGTAAGCACTATGTCAGACATCCTAAAAATGAGTGATTGCTTCCAAATGTTTTGCACAAATCAGTTAAATTCAGAAGTGGCAAAGTATTCTCTGATGTTTATGTTGGCCGACTCATTCATTTACATAGCAATGTAAATGTTACAAGATTATTATTGAACAGCATATTGTTTCTTTTCTGAGAGTATTTCTTGTCTTTTATACAAGATAACAACCCTTGTCATACTGCAAAAAAGAGTTTACTTCTTTGAAATAGAAAATGCAGAAATTATAGCATGGCCTGCCACAGGTCCAGATCCTAATCCAACTGAGAATCTTTGGAAGATCATCAGTGGTAAGAACAATGACTGTGATTGATTTGTGTAAGAAATTGCAAGAGAAATGAAACAAAATAACATCTGAACAATGTAACAAATTAGTGAAGTCCTGTCATCACAGATGTACAAATGCAATTAAAAGCAATGTACCTGTACACATCTTATTAATACTCTGTATCAATATTCAGTCAATAATGTTGTTTATTTAATTTACATTTATGACTTTCTTCTCCTCACATTTTGTAATAAACAATTTTTGTTCTATGACTTAATTTAGCTTTGATCCTTTTTATACAAATTTACCAAAGGGAAGAACAATTTTTTAAGAACATTTACTGTAATTTTTATCAGTCAAATCTACAGAATTGGAAGTTTTTAATTTTAAACTTTATTTCTCTAATATTGGATGCTACTGTGTGTGTTAAATACCTATGTGCACACACAAATAACTATTCTGTTAGTAAGGTTTGCTTTAATTCTTGACCACTGACAATCCTTTTCATGATTAACCATGTACAACAAGAGGATTAAGTGCTGAAACTTGCTCAATTAAATTAGAGTTAAAAACTAAATAAATGTAAAAATGGATAATTAAATTCTGCTTTTTAAGTACTGATGTTATTTTTGTGTATTTTTAACCATGTTAATGACTTTTATCAATATGAATGAATCGTATAATAATTACATAATAATAGTATTTTAATTAATGAAAGTGGGATAATAAATTCTTTTGTGAGGAGAGCTATTATGTACTCTTTATGCTCTTTAGATCTGTTTAGAGAGTACAAAGCTAATTTTATTTAAGTTTTATTGAATGATATAAATCTTAAAAATGATTAACTTATTTGAAATAGTTCATTATATCTATTCATATTTGAAATATCATGTGCTAATTTTGGTACCTATTTAGTTTCTGTGTGTGAAAGTGTCAAAGTTGTTAGCCAGGATAAAAAAAAAATCTGATGTTTGGTCATTTGATCACATTTTTGGGAAGTGGGCCAGTCTGATAATTTTTCAGCACCCACTTATAGATGCTTAGGTGCTTTTAAACAATATGAACAAAGAAATCAACACTGCATAGTAACTAGCAGTTTCACACCTTCAGCAATTTTCAGACTGTGTTTTAAGGCATGTTGATTTCTTTGTATTCTCTGTTTACACTCTATGCCTTACATTGAGCCTACTTCCAATATATATATATATATATATATATATATATATATATATATATACACACACATACAAAGTTCTATTCATAAAACAAATAATGATCTTTCTTTTACAATAGCTTATAAAAGATAAAATCTCAGAAAATTTTAATAATAATATACAGCTTCAATGATGTTATTAAACAAGTCATCAGGAAGGAGGACAAAATTTATCAAACTTAAAGAAATTTTGATCATTAAAAGGATATATCAATGAATAGCAAACTACTGCCCAAATTTTTAGACACGTGTATTTCTTCAGCAGCTTTCCATTGATGCAAGTTTTATTAAAGATCCACAAAAGATATTAGGATTTTTTTATTAACTTTTTTTCCATTCAAACACATTGCTTGGCATCAAGATTACAAGGTTGTGTATATGTATATATATATATATATATATATATATATATATATATATATATGATAGAATAAGGAGAAAAAAATGGAAACATTATATAAATTTAACATGTTTATGTACCTGGGCATTTTCTTACACAGTTGATTTCCAAAAGTTTCTGATGAAGCTTAAATAAAAGCAAAACATGTCAAATTTATAAACGTTTCCTATCTGTTTCTTGTTCTATCATTGTTAGATTTTAACCCATATTTGATTCCAAAGCATGCATATATATATATATATATATATATATACACACACTTTTTTTAAATTTTTTATTGTTTCTCTTGCATGTGGACAAATAATTTTTAATGAAACAGGTATGAGAGAGGGATTGCTACCCGGATACACACCTATATTCCAAATTCTGACTGCTTTGTGCTTTCATATGCCATTGTCAAAAAAAATATATCTATAAAACCATTAGAGTGAATGAAGACTAATAAATTCTCCCTGTGATCTCACAACTTCTAATTATCTAAGTAGACATAACTATTCTCGGTATTTGTGGTATGGTCAATGCATATTAAGGTTAGGTCAGTCCAAGTAAAGTGGGGCCTCCTACACTTTGTACTATTTACACATCTGCACTATATATGTGTTAATAAACTATTAATTCAATAATGTTACCCATTTGTAACAGCAAAAATATTGGATTGTTTTGGGATAAAAACTTTTGCATTATTGAGTTAACTGAAGGGTTAACAAATAATTAAAAATAATTTGATTTTTATAAAAATATCACATTTTGCAAGTTAGGTGGGAACTTGATATCAGAATATTGTTTTCAAATTTCCCTTTCTCTTTTCGTAAAATCTTTCTTTAAAACTTGTTTTTTTCAAAATGGATATCTTGCTGACAATCAATGAGAAAACAGAATTCATCAAAATGTTATTTACATTTCTTTTCGTTTCAGGCCAAGAACCTTCGGAGGCTGATCCAACATCGTTTCAAAATGTACTCTTCCCTAACTGAATCTGACTGTGTTTTCAAGTTCTTTGAGACTTTGTCAACTGTAACTAAGTTCAACCAGGAGCGCTTTAAATGTGCCTTAGGAGTAAGTCTAGAAAAATCGGGCAGCATTTTTTTCTTTTAGTTGTTTGAAACTTTGTATAGCATAACATTATATTGATTGCAAAAACATTTATCACAGATTTAATTAGAAATCTCCACATTTGGTTATAATGTACAGTTTGATACATATTTTCTGTATGTACAATTTGATACATATATTTCTTTATTACTGTGTGTAATATATGCTTTATACAAGCAAAGACGTTCATTTTTGGAAGTTATTCGAATACATTTTAGAGAAACGTTCATCTTTGGGATAACAATCTTGGCAAAGTAAGCATGACATTCAAATATTGAAAATGACTTTCCTATGACATAAGGGAGGTAACTCTTGCAGGTATTTTCAAAATCGTAATTTTTATTTTGTGCAATTTTTTCTTAATTATATATTTACCACCATTTTTTTAAATAATATAACTTGTTTTATAAGTCTTCATTTATACTCCTTTGATTTTTAGTACAATTGTTTAAAAAAAACAAATTCTTTTGTCTTACAGTATAGCTGGAGTATTTCTGTTGAGTTAGTCGTAGGCCCAGATGTTGGCATCAGTTATCTAACTGAGAAAGCTTCGACGGTAAGTTATCTTTTGCCAAAAAATTTTAATCATCTTTTGTGACTGTATTTTATATACTATGCTGATATTTTGAAGCCTTAATTATAAGGCAAATAAATCTTGGCTTTTATTTGTTGGGGGGTGTCATCAAGTTCTCTAATTATAGAAAACAAATATAAAATAATGGTAAAATCATTTGGTTCTATACAATAAACACTGGCATTCATTGACTGAACAATCAATGTTACTGTCAGTTGAAATATATGAAAGCTTAAAACAATTTTTCAGGAAATAAGACATCTCAAGTTCACTAATTATCTTTCTCTTGTATTGATAGGAGTTTCCTTTAAAACCTTTCATTTTTAGATTTTTAGTAGTGTGAAAAGTTACCAACATGTTAATATTATTTTCTTTTCTAGTTAGCTATTTTGTTGATCCTTCAGTTGAAAGTATTAAAATGATATTTTTGTTATTTGGCATAGGTCTTTGTGATTCTGTAGCACCAGTCTGAGGGAGGCTCAATGAATTTTTTGACCAAATCTAATCTCTCTGATGGACAACAGGGATATAAGAATGAGTAGAAATAATAAAATGATAATCCAAATATCGATGTTATATATGTGAAAGAGGACATAAGAAATTCTGATGGAATTTGAATTTGGCTCGTCAGTTTCCCTTTTTGATATTGAACTCACTGTACAGTAGTAAATGTTTACTAAATGAGCTCATTAATCATTACACTACAACAAAATACCAAATAAATATTAGATTATCAATAAAGATATATTCCAAATCATTGGAATTTTTACATTCCCATTTTGGATAATTTTCCATGGGATTAATGGATTTATTTTTAATCCAAAATTTATTATTACTTCAAATGTTATGATACTGGTGTTTGAGTTGACACCCTGTTTTTTAAACTGCACTAAACTTACTAGCCTGTGCAGTTGAAATAATGTGATAAAGGAAATGTGCTCTCTGGCATGAATGAGGACACAGGTTTAAACCCAGCCAGAAAGCACATTTTCTTAAGTTTTCTTGCGTACACAGACTAGTAGACATAATAAACACTTTTTTTTTTTTTTTAAATGGAGCATCTACTCAAACATGGGCATCCACTAAAAATAATATTTGAAGTAATAACAATTTTCTATATCGACTTTTTTTTTTATTTGTAAGTTTAAATGAAATGCTTTTAGGTTGGTTATGTTTTTTAAGTTACTAAATAGTGAATTGCTATGGGGGAGTAGTGTAAAGAGGAATCTGGGAGTCAAGTTCAAAGTCTGTTCAAATCTGCTGCATTCACTTTCATGCAAATGCACTTGGGAAAGGCATAAATCTTTCTCTACTTCCCCTAACTATGGTTCAAATAGCAAGATAGATCAGGCTTCCTAGCCTTAGGTGGCAACTAATCTAAGGGAAAGAAAACTTTAAATTCCAATCAGTATAGGACGCAACAGTAAACTAATCTACAATCCTTCCTAAGAATTTATGGCAATTCACAGATAATAAAGACAAAGGAATATATGGAGAGGTATGATCCCCTGTGTTCTGAGGGGATATAGGATTTTAAAAAAATAGTGAATAGTTGATGATTTTATTTTTTTTTGTATTATATTTGATGTCATCATTATTTGTTTTGTTATATGTAATCTTACTGCTTTTTCTAAAGGTTTTGTCTTTAATAAACTTGTCTATTTCCTGTTTAATCCAATGTCCATTTGACATATTTCCTCTTTCTTGTAGTCCATCACCACTTATCAATTATAAGTTTGACATTCTACAACTTCATCCTGAATTTCTCATTTTTATCATGTGTATACAGGCATATAAACTTTTCTGTCTGAGGGTATTTGGGATTGTACAAGTACATAGATTGACTGGTTACAATCTACCATATTTCTTATCCATATAACACATAATTTGACAGAGAATATTTCAGAAAAAGAAGCTAATAATATTCAACTGATATTTTATCCATACAAATTATATTTTAAGGTTACTTTGATTTGTTATCAAAGTATAAGACACAAGGTAATTTTTGCAGTTTTTTCTTGTGATGGATACATATTATGAAGTAAGAAATATAATGTATTCATTGCAAATGAAAAACATTAAGTGCTTTCATATTGGATTAGATTCAGAATAATCAGTCTACAGCACTTAATATTTTGTGGTCTTGTCAGGAATCACTTTTTTGTTCTTTTGATAGTGTTTTGCTGTTACCTGATGAAATTATTCTTAATTTGGTTTTGAAATCAAAGATTTTTACTTGTAGATCAATTGAAATTATTGGATCCATTTCAATGGTATCACAAATTCCACTGTTGTCTATTGCTTTATTGATTAGCATTATCATTGTAAATACTTAGCAGTTATTAAGCTGTACTCTGTTTGGTACAAGGACAAAAGTGTTGGATTTGTCATCAGAATCAAATTTACAGCAGTTATAATCCTTATCATGAATATCAGTTGTAATGGTTGCCACAAACGCGTCTAATTAAAGGGAAACAACTTTTTTTTTCAAATGAATTTCTTGCCTTCCTACCATTTTCCAAATTGAGGTTATAAAGTACAAAATATTGATTTGGCAAAAGCTCCAGGAAAGATGTGCGACGGTTGGGCAACTCAAGTACTATTTCCTGAGTCATATTTTAACTCAGTACTTTGTTGTTTTCCTTGTTTTTGTTTTTATCCTCCCCACCTTTTAATACATTTCTCCAGCCTATCCCTTAGTCGTGATCATCATCCAATCATCCCTTGCTTGGACAAGGAAGGATAACAAACTGAATCTGTTGATTATTTATTTTACTGAACATTTTGCCATTCTGTTGAATAATGTGGACCTTGGGCAAGTTTTATTTTTACTTTTTTTATTTGTGTATATTTTATTACATTTGTGGATGATTAAGATAAATCTTTGTATTGAAGGTAATGTCTTTAAATTTTGCATTTGTTTTTGCTTTTTTCTGTTTATTTCATGTTTCAGGCTGTTTCTCTATGGAATGCAAGTGCAAAGAAGGAAATATAAATTATTTTAAATATTTTATTCTTTTCATCTGGTAACAAAGATGCTGAAATGTATTTTATTTGAAAGAATATGAAAGAATATCAAACTTAGCATCACTAATCTCTTCTTAAAATATTAGAATGATATTGGCATTAATTATAGTTATGAAATAAAGTAATGAAAAATGCTGCTATATAATGGACACTTTCCCTGCTCTTAAAAATTCCCATTACATTTAATTTAGATTAACTATTTAGGTTATATTTTAGAGAAGGTTTTAAGATATTAAAAGGATTGGTAACTACATACAGATTTCTGTTTGTCAAAATTATCTTTAGACAACTCCATAATTAAACATGTACATTATATGGCAGAAAATACAGGACATAAATTCACTGAGGAAGTGCATGTAATATATAGTGTACAATGGCTGTTTTAAAACATTCACTGCTGTATTGTTTATAACCTTGTTGCCTTGCTGTGCTGGCCTGTTTTGGAAAAATATTTAAGAAAAAAAACAAAACATTTTGTCTATTTTCTGAGCATTTATATGTTTTTGTTCATTTTCATGGGTGTAACCATTTTGTTTTCTCTACAGTACAGACTAAACTAAACAACATCTCCCAGCACACAATATAATAAAAATCTGTCACAAAACAGGTCATATTGTACACTACTATATATCTATGCTGGTTTGGAAATAGAACAAAGTGGTAGTTTATAGCTCAAAAGACTTTATATATATATATATATATATATATATATATATATATATATATATAGTTGACAACAGGTAATATAATTTTCATAAAGACTTATAAGTAGGTTCACAACAGCAGAACTGTTAATGATGATATAAAGATATAAGTTTCCTTTGTCTTTCAAATAATTTCTGATCTACTGACAGGAATTGTTAAGTTTCTTTTAGTCTCTATCTATTCTTGTATAATAATCTGTTCAGTGATATTCATAAGAAAAAATTAAAGCAAACAATTCATGGGGTTAATCTTCAATTGGTTTATATAATCTTTGTACAACAGAAATTAACTCTTCCCACATCAATCTCTATAGTGGCACTAGCCCTTGTCTAAAATTCTGGAGGTGCTGGGTTCAAAGTTCATTAGAAAAATGAAATCTGGTGGCAGCTGACATGGTATCCAGAGGCATTCAATGCAGGTTCTCGGGGCCCCAAGTCTCCAAGCTCACAAAGTCATCAGCTTATATGTACTTCAGCCCAAAACTGGTGTGTGGTCAAAGGGTTCTGGTGATTCAGTGATTCCCCAATTTTCACATTAATCTCACAAGTGTTTTTTTCTCAAATTTCTGCTTTCTTGATCAATTTTCCAAATTCAGAGAATTATCCACCCTCTTTGGGAGTAGTCACGGGGATTGCTCCTCCCCTAATTTCAACCTGCTACATCTTGCACCACCACTCTACACAGGTGGCACTAAATTTTATCTCTTCCTCCTTCTTTCTTAGTATTCTAACTCTGCCCACTTCTCAGTGAAAAATCTAATCTTTAAAGTATATAGGTGAAAGGGCATAGTTTATTCTCATCATTAATTTCAATACACCCTTTCACTTCTCTAGAATTACCTCTGTCCAAGGAGGACACAAACCAGACCACTGCATTCTCATTTAACCTTCTGAGTGAGAGATAAAATTATTTCCCAATTTGTTTTCATCAACAAAAATGTATGTTTACCTAAATTCTCAACAAAGAGACAAGCTGTTCTCCATCCATGGACTGATTGCTGTCTCAGCAGAAACATAAAACAGGACATTTGTCTGTCATGAGAGGATTGATTTTCATAATCCTAACCCTGACAGTGGGTTCATTCCCTGTTTTCATTTCTCAATTTGTTTCTGCCAATAAAAATATAATTCCCATCTGTCTCTCTTCTTGTTAATGATGTATTTTTCTAATTTCTCAGGCATCTGATGTACAGGTATTATGAATTCTAGAATGATCACTGAAGACTTCAGCTATTAAACGATGGAGTTGGTATGAGTTGCACTGTGTTCCTCAAAAATAGCTTTGTAAAACTCAAGTCTTTTATTCTAGGCTATGAAATAATTTGTCTGGCACATCTGTCGGAGATACTAGTCGAAATATCAAGAAACTTAATACAGATGCTTAATGAAAGAAAGAAAAATATTGATAGAAAACAATCTTTATTTATTGGTGGGATGATTTTGTAAAATGTGTGAAAAGTCCATCCTTAGAAATAGCAGGTGACATTACAAATGAATATATTAATCAGTTTATTCAAATTCTCCAAATTTGTGTCAGAACCTCATAAACTGTGTGTGTGTATACTGTCTAAAGCTAATTCTTTGAGACAAATAGTATCAAGAGTTTAAAAATTATATAATTCAAAATTATTCTAAATTTAATCCAATAACATACAAATCAAAGACCATATTAAGTTAACCTTTTTTTTTTGTATTTTTTGAATATATAATTGTCTGTGAGTATGAAGGAGTGCTGAAGATTTCTTGGTTATATCTGGAATGCCTACTCCCTCAAAAAGTTTGTTCAAATTTTAGGAAGTGTTTCTTGCTTTGCTGAGAAGTTTTTAGCACTTTCTTGTATGTAATATATATATATATATATATATATATATATATAATAGTCTGTTTCCTGCTTAAATGCAATCTTCAGGCTGTGTGTGTGTGTATATATATATATATATATATATATATATATAGAGAGAGAGAGAGAGAATAAATTACAGACATTATGTCTGCTAATTTTTAATAAAATTTTAATAAAATCTGTTCATACTCACAAATAATCTTCCATGTACTGATGTTAAAGGATGAGAGAAATGTGCTATAGCTGTTTAAATTTCTTTTATTTTCATTTCTCAAGTACTTTCAATCTTCTTCCAAGATCATCTTCAGTGGTGCAAAACTATATGTTGTTCATTAATATAAGTATTTAGACAAAGTTGTATGGTGTTATCCATTACCATATTTTTTTCATTATGCTTTTAAATGCAAAATGATTGATGATGTGCTGAGCGTTCATTTAGAACATGAAAAAATTATCCATTATGGAATTTATTCTTCTATGTTATAATGTCATGGTCACGCGTGCATTAAAACATGTAAAAAAACTGTTCATTTACAGGCATTTTAGAACATTATTGCAGTATTCATAGTTGATTCTGTCCAGTGCCAGCTTTAATTTATTTAAATTGCTTCTAGTATCTAAATTTGTTGTTTTCATGGTGTAGGATAGTTGTGTTGTCAGTTAGTAATTTATAAAAAATACAATACAACTAATTTAATTATTCGCAATAACTCCTCCCCACTAACTGATGTATTACGTAAAACCAACATTGTATACCAATTTAAATGTCCCTTGGGAAAATGCATCTCCAACAGAAAAAACATATATGTTGGATATATGACAAATACACTAACAGGAAGGCTTATACTGCACATGTCTGACCATTCGTCCATTGCGAGATGACATCTTCAACAACATTCCTGTCCACATTCACAATATAAAAAATTACTAATCGACAACACAACTTAAAGATAAATTTCTGGGATAAAAATTGTCTAGCATGACACAGTGGACCATCCTTCTTAGCAGCAAGTCTAGCAATTTATTCAATATAGACATTCCACTTCATGTCGGCTAAGAATGTTAACCCAGGAAGGTGCAATGAGTCAATCTCCTGGAGGTTAGTACCAACCATACTGATGGGAGGCAAAAAGGGGTCTATTAGATGATTCTTTGATATAATTTTTATGACTCTAAAATGGATGTTCCTAATTATGACCCTTGACATTCAAATATAAACTGACAGTGTCTTTCTTTTTTACTGAAGTTTTTTTTTTTTTTCTTTTGTTCATCTTTTTCCAGCCAACTCATATTGCAGACTTCCAAGATGTGCAATCCATCCAGACGTTGTCACCAAACTCTGATGACAGCAAAGGGGTGCTACAACTGAAGATTGCTGGTGCCACAGAGCCACTAAGTTTAAGCTGCGTTTCCCTGGCTGTGGCAGAAGATATGGCTGATCTCATCGATGGCTACTGTCGACTTGTCAACAACCGGCAGGAAACTCTCTGGAGGCGAAAAAGTAAGCATTTAATATGAAGCCTTCATTTGCCTTGTTTATTTTTATTTTTTTTTCTAAATGTCCATCCAATCAAGGCCCAAGAGCCACTCCAGGTGTCTGTGTGGGGGCTTGTTGTAAGGTCATAAAAGGAGGAGGTAAGAAGTGCATATTATGAGGAAATGTAGGATAGATAACAGTTGATCTTAGACTTGGGCATATGTTTCATAAGGTAGCAGATGTTTGTTTTAAAACTCAGTTGTCAAGCTTTTCAAATACCATATATACTCGTGTATCACCTTTGAAGGCCTAATTTTGAAGCTAATTTAACTACAGTAAATGGATATATAGTTTGGTCAACGATGTAGTTAGGGCCAACAGTACATACACTAATTTTATATGTCATGTATGATGCAACCCCCTTAAAATCAGCTTAAAAATTAGGTCTTCAGAAGTCACATGATATGCAAGTATATACAGCAAATTTTTCTTATATTTAGTATTTGTTTGCAAATTGTACTTATTTAAAAACAAAAAAACTAGCATAGTATGCTAGATATGCTTTTTAGTGGCGACAGAATTGCATCCATTCTGTTATCAAATGATTGTATATTGAAATACAATCACATGCTAGTGTTTACCCTAATTTAAACTTAACCAATTAATGCCCACTGTCCTATTTTGGGGTCACCAGGCAGTAAGAAACCTATAATCAATACTGGATTTTTATTGATAAACCTATGATTGATGCTAGTGTATATTCAGGTGGAGAGGGGTACACAAGGTAACAGATAATCACCATACACAACAGAAATGAGAGGAAGAAAATAGATTTGATCTCATATTGGAGTGGAGGTAGGTACATGAGATAAAAGAAAATCATTTCATAGGTAAATAATTTAGAACTTAAGTAAAACATAAAAAAAAATTAAAAGTTTATCAAAGAACAAAATGTGGTAATCCTGGAAAGAATAAAAAGGAACATTAGGCCTATTTTTTTTTTAAATGATGCAATCATAAAAGCATACAAATAAAATCTTGAATCAACTATAACAGTTACTGTTCCCTATTTGAGATCTAGGAAAAAGTTTTAAATTGATAAATGGGATATTCTTCATAAGCTCAGAAGTTGAGGTTACAAAATTTCTTATATATATATATTAAAGAGAAGAGATGTGCCGCAAACGTTTTTGGTTGTAATGTGGATTTTTTTTTTTAATTATTATAAAAAAAAAAAAAAAAAAATTCAGTAAAATTATGGAAAATAAAGCATAATATTTAAAAAAAAAAAAAATCCACATTGCAACTAAAAACGTTTGTGGCACCTCTCTTCTTTTTAATATATATACTTTTCTCTCATTGGAACCACTATAACCTTTCTTTTTTATATATATATATATATATATATATTTTCACACACATGCATAGACACACTTTGCCATTTAAGCATTAATTAAAAAAAAATTATATAAACAAGAAATAAATAAAAACAAAATAATATACCTATATTTTCAAAATCTTTATCAAACTCCAGAATAACTCCTGTCTCTGAACCTAGAAATAACATTGTTACATAATCTTTTGAGACTCAAAGTTGAAAGAAAGAAAAGGGAGTATAAGGAGAGAAAGAAAATTATGAAAAAATAAGAAATAACCACAACATCCTACACACGTACACGTGAACAATGAAGAAGAAAAAAAATCAACCTAATACCGATAAAAAGTGCGTCAATTTCTTTTTTCTAACTTAATATAAAAATAACAGAAACAAGAAAATTGCAGACAATTGCTGATATTTCCTGAATAGTGAACTGAATGATTACACAAAGATTCGTCTATGTAACTCTGGAGTAGAAGTGCTGAATATAATATCAATCGTCAAAGTGACAAATTTTATTTATATTAATCCTCTATATATAAAAACATCTTTACCATCTATTATGCCTGTACGAGCATCCATGTATTAAGCATCATGCATTTTTAATTGAATTAAAACATGTTTTTTTTCTTGAAAATGTTTGTGGAAAAAAAACAAATTTCAATAAATGTATTTTCAGTTAAATTTCTAAAAATGTAGTAGCACATATAGAAAATAATATTTTTTGAAAATTACCATTAAAATTTATCTATGGGACAGCAAATGTTACTAAAAATGAAAAGTGATTTAGTGGGGAAGGACTTTCTTCAACATGTTCTAGTTTTGAATAATATGGCCTTGTGACTTTACATTTATTTTTTTTTTATTAAATGTATCATGTGATTAAGAGAGAATATTTTTATTTTTCCTGAATGCCTCCATATTATGATTAAGACAAAAACATATCAAAAGAAGTGACTTAACAAAATGATTACATTGTTCTAATTTATAGCATTTATTCTTTATTGTCTAAAGTTATATTTGAAAATTTTGTTTGCTTGTGGGGGATAGGAATGCAATTCACTGGCATTTTTTTCCATTTCTCTTTTTCTTTTAAGTTTTAATTTTTATTTGTGTGGATATGCAGGTGGTATAATGGATAGTGGCTTGGAACAAGAAATCAGAGTGCTGAGTTCACATTCTACGCAAGTTTCATTACATTCACTTTCATACAAATACCCTTGGGAAAGATATGAATCCATGAATCATCCCCCTGCTATGGGTTAAATAGGGTAGACAAGGCTCTTCAGCCTTTTGATTTTCCTCTAATCATTAAAAAAAATCTTCAGCTTTGTGTACACATTTTTCTGTAATATGATTTATTTCAGGCCTAAAAAGAAAGAATCAATTGATTTTGCATGAAATCAAACAACACATCCTAGAGACAAAATCTTTACCATAAATCCATAATAAATGTCTCATCTTATTCAACTTTAATCTCTTTTGTCATTCAATCCAGAAACATAATTTTTCTTTTGTTTATTTATTAGCTTGGTATTTTTATGGAAATTCTTATTCTGAAAACCTTGATAATGACTTCATCTGGCAATATTTTCTGTTGAAATTGTTGCAAGTATCTCATAATTTATGTCTTGCATCTATACAGTCAATCATCATATCTCCAAAGACATTTAGAAAATCAGATAATATCAATTTGATACTTATCTGGAAGATAAATATAAGATTATTAATTTTAAATCATTAATTTCTTAAGGCACTGATATTTAGAGAACTTAAAACAATTACTTGATTACTTATTTTAGTGCATTATTTTACTTATAATTATTGTCACATGACACATTCAACAGTTATAGTTATCTGTCACTCTTAGTATTGCCAATTAAAACAGTTTTTACATTCATATAAGTGGCAAAGTAATTGTTTTAATAACGTGATTAATCAACATCAGTTGCATAATTTGTTACTTTTTCTTAAATAGAAATATCTTAAAAAGCTGTATTCTGCTGTAGTTCAAGAATAGTTTCTCTTTCTTTCTTCTTATCCTTTTCTGTTGTTTATTTTAGTCATTTGATTTTTCTCATAATTCCAGAGTGAATTCAATTTGAACTTCATCTTGGATAGATCATAGGGAATGTAAAAAATGGCCATTTTAAAAAAAAAATTAAATTAGTAATTTCAGATTTCTATCAATCAAATTTATCATTTTTCTCTTTTTTTCTTCCAACCCATTTTTTAATTTAAGCTGACAGCTGTAGATGTTCCTCAGCTTCTGAAAGTGAAGGTTTGTATGAGCTGTTGCTTGCATTTTCATTTTCAAAAAATCCCAAAAAGAAACTTACTCAGTTTCTTGTTTTTAAATAACTCACTTTTTACCCCTGCATTGTTCTCCATTGTCCACTTGATCATTAATAATGAGCAGTCAAGTGTCCTCTAGTCAACTCCCCTGACTTTTGTTTCACCAAGCAATCATTGACTGATTCCTTTATGGTAGAGTAGAAATCTTAATCAACTTGGAACTGTTTAATGAGATTGCTTGCAAGAATTTTTTTTTCTTTTGAACTGTTAAGAAAATATCTTGCAAGATATTTCTTTATTATTTCCATGCAGTTGATAACTTGTGAGAAATTTCTTTGTCATCATGCAGTTTAGTTTTTGTGAGAAAATTCTTTGTCTCTGTTAGGATAATGAGTTAGTTCACTAATATATCAGACATTGATAATATATAGGAACCTCAGGAGAAAATGAACTTAATTTTACTTTTAAAACATTGGGCAGAGAAATTAAATAAACACACAGTGGATTCCTATTAAACAGATAGCCAATTAATTAATATGACTAGCTGTAAAAATAGAATCTCACCTGTAATATTGTGTCTATTTTATGCAAATTTATTTAGAAGGAATAATTGCTCTTGAGACTGGAAGTTGTGGTTCTGATGTGTTCCACATAGGCAGAACAAATTGTGTGCATATATATATATATATATATATATATATAAAATCTCCAAACAAGTTTGATTAAAAAGAACCAACATGGTCTGTCTATTTAATTGTTTTTTATTATATTTTCCTATTTTGTTATTGTTGTTCAAGTACTTTTGACTTGCAGTCATTATCAAGAACCAAGGTGCTGTCTTTGTGGTAACATTGGGTTGTATTCTAGTGTATACTTTCAATATTTTATTAATTTTGAATGACTATGAATGCAATTACAAAACCAGTTCCATGTTTAATATTAACTGCTCCTTAAGGCAGTAATCAAGTACAATAAGTTAAAAAATGTCTTCTACTATATTTAATGGTTGGTTAAAATATTATGAAATTATTATTCTTCCTATAGTTAATTCAGTTTTATCCAATGTCAATATTTTAAAAACTTAAAAAATTGATTTTATATATTTATTGCAAATTAGCACTAAATGTACAAAAATGTGCTGCTTTTGAGGTGGTAAGACAACTCTACTTTTGATTTAAACCAACACCACCGAGTGTTGTTCAAACACGAACAAAGGGGAGATAATTTCGATGCCACTTGACTGCTTGCATTTTTCTCATTTTATTTAACTTATTAATTTGAATATTATATGGATAACTAATTTTTAAACCAATGTTTCTGTATTTTACTATTGCTTTTTATTAATAGTTTGTTGCATATTCATTGTTTACCCCTTTGGTTTTCTTTGTTAGTTGCTTATGAAGTAACTGCTGCTTGTTGCTGTAGTCATTATTTGTTTGTTGTTGGCATGGCTTGCACAATTCTTTTAATAGTTGGTTGTATTATTATAAGGCTTAGATATGTATTGTTATCATCGTTCTTATTGTGCTTAACCTTTTGTAGTTTTCCCCATATTAAATTTTTTGTCTTTGCTTGTATGTATGTTATTGAATATTTTTTTTTGTTTTGTTTTTGTTTTTTAATGTGTATGTGACTGCAACAATTTTGGGGTGCTATATCACCTAACTAGGTTGCTATTTACAACTTAATATTCACACTTACTATTTACATATTTTGATTCCTGAATATTTTATATATAAATTACTGTATAAGGAAATGATGCACAGTAATTATGAACAAACTATTTGAAACAGGCTAGAAATACAAGAACAATATTTCATTTGAAATGAATATACCCATATTTATCATTTTTTTTTTTAACAAAGGTTTGTAAAATCAGAAATAAAATGAAAATATACTTTCTTCAAGTTTTATCTTCTCTTGTGCAAACATTTTTCATCTGCTGTTTGGTATAAAACCTGTATAGTATAAAATAACATGCACTTGTAAAAAAAATCTTATATATTAATAAGAATTTTTATCAAGTGTTCATTATTATTTTGTATTATGAAGTTTAAAAACTATTCATTCATCAGGACATGTGTGTAATATCCATTTTAAAACCTGTTGCCTTTTGTTGTTTCTTTTGAATTTAAAAAATTATGAAAGAAATGCTTATCCAGTTATCAATATGCTTCAGTCTTTCCACATTATATTCAATTTTACAAATTGTGTTTTTTTTCCTTATTTTATATAAACACCATAATTGAATATTTATCAAGCTTTCGCATAAATATTTATAAGTTTAGTGTTTTATTTCATTGTATTTTTATTCTTTTCAAAGTGTTTATTTAATTTTAAATATGTATGTGGTTGTGTGTGTGTATATATATATATATATATATATATATATATGCATTTTTTTATACAAAATTTTGCTAAAATTTATCTTATAAACTTAGAAAAAAAAGAACTTTCACTCATAGAATATTTTTACTTTGTTTTTTTGTTAAGCTTTTTCTATATAAGAAAATGTAAACTTTGTTTTGTATCATGATTTGGGTTTAGATGAATTATCACCACAAACTGAGTTCAGTTAATTTATGGTGCTGTCTCAAATTATATCTACTTATTGTCTATAACTATTATGCTTATAAATGCAACAAATTGTTTTTTCAGTAACCTTGTTATGTGAATGTAGGGGGGGGGATAGTGTTTTTATTTTTGGTTTTCACTGTTTGCATTTTGCTCTCATAAATCATTCCTTAAAAATTGAAACTTCAATCCTTATTTTTTAAAAAAATAATATTTTGATTATTTTTTAAAATTTATGAATATGTAGTAGCAGAAAGTGCCCCCCCCCCAATACAAATAAAAAAGTTAATAAACAATATAATTTATTTGGTCCATGACATAAATTGGCATTCTCACTTCATAGTTTCTATAAAATTCTGACTTATTATGCATCAATCTATTTGAACTAGTGTTTTTGTTGTTATAGACCATAATGTTTTGTCTATTATACTCTTCAGCCCTCTTCAAGTATTTATTGCATTTGGCAATTTTAGCCTGTTATCCTGTTGGGTAGTCTAATGATTGTATCTTGGACCCTTAAACCTAATGCTTATTTTTTGCAAATCAAAGAATTTTTTTCAGCAAGACAATAAAATCACAAAGACACGAGAGTTTACTGAGTGTGAAACAATCTGAGAAAACCTAATTGAATAGAAAAGACAATGAAAAAATAAGATTAAAAAATACAACAGATAACACTTGATTTTGCATTTAAATTTTTGGAGATCATAGTTGACAGGGAAACAAGGAACAGAGAAAAGAGATTTACAGGCAAGAAAAACTATTAGAATAGAACTTATGGTTACATCTAGTAATTTCAAAAGTAAAATGTTGAGACCTAGCAGCCAATCTAGTACTATGCTTAAACTGATGAAGTCGGCACCAATAAGAAAAGCTCATCAGAAGAGTTGCCATGAAAATATAGAAAAGTAGCCTGCTAAAGTAGTCATCAGAGCCTGGCATGTGGATAAAAGCATTGGTTATACATTTTTAGTTACCTGGTAGTTGTGAGTTCAATCCTTGGTTGGCAATAAAAATTATATAATTTAGTGATATCACAAATACAAATTAAGTTGGAAAGAAATTGATACACAATATCCTCAGGTATAAAAAGTAAAATGAGAAACAATCATGAATTGATAAAATCTTGAGTTTAAAATCTCAGAAGGACAATGAATTTAACTTCCCTGAAAAAAGACAGGTAGAGTACAACAACTGAAATATTGTTACTATGACAACCAAGATGAGTGCAATAATTTTGAACAAATTAAAGTATTATAATGATAATTCATTATTTCAGAAATTCAAACAAAAATTATGTATTTTAGCAAATTAACTATGAAGAATTTTAAAAATTTTTCCTTGGTCAATTGAATGTCTCCTTTGTGTTCTTGATGATATTAAAACATTTTGTTTGATTCACCCTTATATAAAAACATCTCAGTATTAAGGTGTTGAGATTTTATATATATATATATATATATATGATAGGTTTATTTATTAATTCCTCTACATACTAATAATTATTTAACCCATTGTACCCAAACGCAAATTTTATTGACTCTATCAATGAAATAGATTGAGATACAGCTTAAAATACTCTTTAAATTGAAGACCACATTCAAAGGCAGACAATGTGATCTTCATTATTATTTTATCTTTATGCCTCCATGTCTTGTAATTTCAATTGCAGTTAGGTACAATGGGATAAGTCAATTGCAACCTATACTTGGCTAACATCACACATTATCTACTAATTTTATTTATTTATTGGTATTCTTTTAGAATTGCATGTTGAAAAAATGCTGTTTTTTTTTGTTTTTTTTGTTTTTTTAAATGCTGGAAATTGAGATAGATAATGGCTGCAAGGATTTTTTTTTAACTTTGTAAAATAAGTGGAACAGAACAAATTTTTTTTTTTTTACCAAAATGGAAAATGAAAAACTTACTAATTATCATTGAAATATTACAAATATTTATTATTTTTGTCAAATAAATTATTTATATATAAAAAAAAATCTAATGGGTATCTACATTTTGAACAGATATTCAAAAGCACATTTTAGGAATTAATTTTGTTTCACTCTTGTTTTTATATATAAAAGTAAAACATTAACATTTTTCATTGTTAATTATTAAAATTATTTACTTAGTAATAAAAGCAGAAATTTTTCATAAGGTTATATATGAAAAAGATCATTTTTTATACATATTTGTATTTACTTACCTTGCTTTATCTGGTGAATTGGGTGGTCTTCACTGAAGATTGAATTGAACACAATCAGACTGCTCTGTGAGACTAGCTTGAAAATCACTATTCCATTATAAATGCTATAACAAAATCTTAATTATCTCCCCTGCAATTTCAACTTTCTTCATGTATGTTTAGACTTTTAAATAAATTATGAGAGAATTTTAGTAACCTAGTAATATTATTTAAATTTGCTAATTATTTTTCTTACTGTTTTAAAAGATACTTATACTTGAATATTGTGTGTTTGAAATAATGAGTTGTAAAATGTATTTATCAAAAGTAAAAATGTATTTTGTTTATCAAAAACTTTTTTTGATCCCCAATCAAAATTTACTGACTTTATATTACCCTTTTTTTTTAGTTTTTGCCTTTACTCCTTTTAAGATCAGTGCATCACCCAAACACCGATTAAATTTTTTTTTTTTTTTTTTTTTTAATAAAAGAAAGCATTTAGACCTATTTGGCATTGGACAACATTTCCATTTTTAAGGTTTTTTTTTTTTTTTTTTTAAACCCTTTTCAGTTTCTCTACTCTCTAAAAGTAATTATTTTCATAAAAATACTTGTTATACCTTTGAAATAATAATTAGAACTCCTGCCTCTGAGGAAAACCATTAAAAAATTTCTAAAAACGGGAATTTAGGACCCGTTACAATTTTTTTTTCCCTTCTACTACAGCATTTACACCCATTACAGTAGCTTCATGGCAACTGTGGGTTTTCTGTTTTTTACTTATATTCATGGTAAGTAACATTTGTTTACTAAATTTTTAATGCTTTTTTTTCTTTTTATGCTCTCTTTTTTTCTACCTGTCTGAAATGTAAATGATTTTTAATGGACTTGCTGATTTTGTACATTTACCTTTTTAGTTATTTGCTATTATTGTTAATTTTAAATAAATTAAGTCTGGCTCCATTATTGAGAAACAAGAATTGGAATCAGTTGTTTTTCTTCAGTTTTGTTTCATGTTTGTATTTGGGTTCATTTCCTATCTTAATTACATATTTTCATAAACCTTTGACAGCATTAACTTTTGTTGAAGTTGACAAAAACAAGTAGAAAAAAAATTCAAATTTACAGTGAATAGAAAACAATTCTAAAAATGATAACACAACAAAATGGCTGATTTGAAATACATACAATCTGTTTCTTTTTTTTTTTTTTTTAAATCTCCAAGTTATTTATTTCTCATTTTTGAATTTCTATTTCAGCGGACACTATTCCTCGAACACCACGTTCCAGGTGAGTTTTCTCTCACTTTTCACTCATACTGACATGATAGAAATAATACATAATAAAACTAGTGTTTATAGTAATAACAAATAATAGACTTATATACAAACTGTTAAGTATTTGTTGTCTGTCCTGCAATTATCAGATGGTAATGAAAAAAAAAATTAGGGCAATATATTTTTTTTCTCTTGTGAGTACAAATTAGTGTAGTGTGGTAGGGATAGCAACTATCCAAAAATTGAGTATGGCAATTAACAGCACTTTACTCTAACTTTCTTGAAGGCATGACCCATGATTGCTTTACTTGTTCCAAATTAAAGTAGCATTATTATAGTTGTTTTTTTTTTTGTTTTTTAAGAAACATCTATAAATTGTTTGATTTTAATTTTCTTCATTCATTTGATTTCAATTTCATCCTGAATTATTACAGTTTACAATGGTAATCATAATATTAATCATTTCCTTATAAGGAAAAATCAGCATTCATTGACTTGAGCAGCCAGTGTTACCATCAGTTGAAATTTATCAAATCTTTCACTTAAAAAGAAAATAGGTTTCTCAAGTCCACTGTTCATTTTATTGCACAATAGTTGCTTGCCTATTTTTCTTCATATCTTAACCAAAACAGAACATTTAAAAAAAAATTGTTTAATACCACTGAATTATAATGACTAGCTTGGTACCTGTCAATCAAATTTCAAATCTAAATTAATTGTGCATTTAAAAATTATCTAATTTTTTACAGTTTTAAAAAATTAACTTATTATTTTAACCCTTCATATTTATTATTTTATTTCACAGGCCTAGGATAGGGATTGTCCAGACTGAGTGGGAGGGAAATGTATTATTCCTATGTCTTATTTCAAACTCAATCAAATTGTGTATATATATATATATATATATATATATATATATATATATATATATATATATATATACGTTAAATAACACAAGCATATGTAAGTCATTCACACACAACTCAGACTTATGCATATACATTACATACGTGCATGTAAAGTCACGCAGGCAGTGGTGAACAGAGAATTTGTTCATTTTTCATATAGATTATATTAATAATATATTACATACTTTTGTCCTGTTTTTTGTTGTTTTTTTATGTGCTTGATTGCAATATCACCTAACAGCAGAGGCCAAAAACATTAATAACTTTTTCTTAACCCTTTTGCTGTAGAAAGTGAATATATCTGCTCAAAATTTTATTAACATTAACTGCAGAAAGCAGATTTACTCCACGATTTTGAAAAACATCTCCTTATGCTGCGAAAAGCAGATAGTTTTTTACAAATTTTTAGTGGTTAGTTAACATCATTATGGAAATAACCATGAAATTATGCAGTGAAAGGGTTAAATGATTTTTTTTTTTTTTTTTATTAAAGAAAATAGTTTTTTTGAATTACAAATTTCTTGTGTTAGGAAGTAGAAATATAAATATATTATCTGAATTGTAAACATTTCAACCTCAGTAATTAGATTTTATGTAAGGGTGGCTTAATGGTTACCTACATGGAAAATGGAATTGATATGTTGAGTTCAAAATTTAACTGAGACTGTCAAGGTCTGTGTTCGTTTTGCTCTCAGGAAAGGCATGAATCCATCTTTTCTCTTCTCATCTGTGGTTAAAATAACATCACAAGCTAGGCCCTCTAGCTTTAGCTGGCAACCAATCTAGGAGAAAGACAACTCAGAATTTATAACCATGAATAGAATTTGCTCCAACATCCACTTAGCTAAAAGTAAAAACAGAAAAAAGTAAGTGTTTTTGTTTCACTTGCAATATGACTTGGTAAAAATCTACTTGTTAAAATATGGTCAGTGTGTATACAAAGCTGAAAGATGAATCAAATCTAAGAACAATAACAATATCTCTATTATCTGTTTAATAATTATTTGTGGTCAAATCAAAATGTTATTGAGTTTTTTTTGTTTATTTTTCCCCTTGTTCTAGCATTCAGCAATCGACGAGCAGTAGCTACAGCAAATCAAATGAACCAGTGAGTCCATCAGAGCGTAAGTATTCAATCATTGTATGTATTAAATTTTTCCCTTGGTTAATATGAATGCAAACAGCTGACCTACCTCATGGTTAAAATAGTTGTGCACTTAGCACTGTCACATTTTAATGTCTGAGCCCAGCTAAAAAGGTAGGATTTTGAGTAATGACTTTCAAGGTAAGCTGGCCCTCTCTACTTAAAATCCTTGTGCAACACAGTCTTCTTACTCTCATTTGGCCTTGTACTATTCCAAGTTAAACACAGTAAATATCATGAATGCAGACATTGAAATCATAGATTAACCTGTTGTTCTCCTTGCTGATGATACCATGTAACCCAATGTAACTTGGAGTGAAAATGAGTGCTGCTAAGTAATCCATATTTCCTTTAGAAATGCCTTTAATCTGTCAGCATGGGACTATAACGATCTACTAGGTCACACGATAATTTGATTTTAACTCTTAAAAAGGGTGAATCTTCAACTGATGTTTTGTTGGAGATCAGCAAATAATCAATTGTTGATTTTTCCAGCAATACAGGCATCAGTCATTAATGATTTGAGTCTAAATGACTTGTGAGAACTGAATTCATGACACACTAATGAATTGGTCTGCAAGACAGGCTTACTAACCATTATGTCATGAGCTTATTATCTCTGAGTTTGCTTCCATATGATTGGATTACATTTTTAAAAAGTAGTCATAGTACCTGTAACTTTTCAGTTAGAATATTTTTATTTTTTTTTATGTGAAAATATAAATGAATATTCTAAATATAAAGTGAACTTTCTCTTTATCGGATTCTTTAGAAACTTTCAACATAATGTTAGCAAAAACAAAAAATGCAAGTATAGATAAGAACCAGAAAGAAAAAAAATAAATGACCAATGCATGTATTTGGATGCTGAGCATTGAGAAAATTTGTTGGGAAGAAAGTCTTTTAGATGTTTTGCTAGATTACTTCATTACAAATTCAGAGAACATTTGTCATTTGTCACATTCTAAAAAACTGTACTTAAAAAAAAAAAATACAGGATTTAAATCTTTAGTTAAAGGCTTGAAATCTCTTGCTGTAAAATCTAGACAGCTTACTAATCATTGTTTTTAATCTTTTCTCCAGGAGTGTCTGACTATGCTGAGATTGTAGAAGAAGAAGGAGATTACAGCGTTCCAGATGGTAGGTTGATGTGTGACTGTCATTAGGTAGGATCCATATATATATATATATATATATATATATATATATATATATATATTAATATTTGTGACTTAAGTGTTGGTGGTGTAAATGGAATGAGTTTGTGATTAAGATGTCTAGAATATTTTTAAATGTTCCTAAGATTTTTTTATTTCCCATGCACAAAATTACAAATGTGTTAAATATGATCACTTTTCTTTTTAAAAACTTTTTTAAAATTTAATTTCCTTTCTTTTTAAGAATATTTCTTATTTCATGGCCAAGATTCTCATTAATTTGTTTCCTGTTAAACCTTGACAAAATAATTTCATATCTGATTTTTTTTCTCATAAATTTCTTTTTATTTAAAAGAACCTGTAAATTCATGATTTGTTTTATCACCCCTCAAAAGATTTCCTCACATCACTCTTCTATCAATCTATTTTCCATCTTCCACACTGAATAAAAATATTAGTCATTTAGATGTTACCATAATTAAGGAAAAAAAACCCTTCTTTTAATTATTTTCTGTTATCTGCAGGCTTTTTGTTATAGAAACTTTGAGTGGAACTGAAAGTAAGTTTAAAATATGAGAAACTTCTAATTCTTGTAAAATCTTCTTTAAAATTAATATGCCCATATTAGTAGGTAAATCAATAAGTCTAAGAGTAAAAGGAAGACATTTATTTTACATAGCAACTATTTATCAACATAATAATCTTCTTTGTGAATGCAATTAATTCAGTATTGAATATTAATCATCATATGACCTCAGCATTTATATAATGAATATTTCTGATTAAAATTTAACTCTTAACTAGATATCATGTTGTGGGCTTATTTATCCCCACCTCCTCGGTTTAACCCTTAATCACCTAAATCTGCCTGCAAGTTCGACATGCTTATAGTCCTGGAAGTGTCTGAAAGTGCCTGTAATCTGAAATCTAGTAGTATCATATTTCAATACACGCATTAACAACCCATCACCTGATAAACTAGAAATCTACAATTTTGTAAATGTTGTCTATTTCTAAACTCATATCTACCAAGGAGGCTAAATTTGGTATCATTTGAAAGAGAAATCAATTTACCTTCATCAACTTGTAAAATTTGTCAATGGCGTTTAAGATAGGTCAATTTAAGTGCACTAATATTACATATACAGATTTTTCAACAGTTCTGTTAGAACTCCAGGGTTTTAACAATTGAAATTTTTAAGGGCTGGTAGGGTTAAATGTACCCTTATAAATCTGAATATACAGGGTGAGTCAAAAGTAGCACCCAGATTCTGAAAAGTTGTTATTCAACTGCAATTGTGCATTGATCATGAGAAGCGGCACTTTGAACATTGCAAGTAAAACTGTTTAGTAGAGTTCCTTGATAATCCTCCCCCAAGATAAATGGTTAGATAAATATATCTTTTGTTGAATTCTACCATCTTGTATACCAAAATACAAATGACAACTAATCAACTGACAGCCCTAAAACAGAAACCAGTTAGTACTTTTGACTTGCCTTGTATTTAATTGCAAAAACATTGAATAAATTTAATTTGTAATGTAAATTAAATCTTTAATCAGAGTATTAAAGAATGGGGCTGATTCAAAACTTACAAACATACTTCTATAGACCATTTCATTTTTTTTTTTTTTTTGTTACCTTAAATGTTAGTGGTTTCCAAATGGTGCAGCACATCTCATAGTTGCAATAGAAGAGGATAGCAAGTGAGGCAGAATGATTGAAAGACAAAGATTTAGAAATAATTTTACAAAATTTATATTCCAAAAATAAATACAATTTCAAAATTTAAAATATTATTATGGATTACTGGTAATGGCATGCATGAGTCTCTGGTATAAATAGTTATAAATAATTATTGACCAATTTTATCTTTGTGATATTTTTGCATTATATCAAGTATTAAGAATATAGTAACTAGGGTTTGCAAATTGGAAAAGAGTTATCAATGATAATGTTCTGACTGCGAACCCGCTGTTATTTCCCTTTAACCCTCTCTCGGTTTTTCATTTTTAAATGTACTTTTTATCACATAAAATTTGGTGAGGTGCAAGAAAATTTTAATTCTGAAAATACTGCCTAGAGAAAAAAAAATTTGGGAACCACTTTGTTGTGTGTGTGTGTAACATTAAACTTTATGCATCACTAAAAAAAAAAATGCTTAGTCAAATGCAAAATTGAACAAAGTCTTTTTCTTCATGTTAACATTTGAATATTGACTTGAAATTCCTTTTTTTCTATATTTTCTGGACTTATATGATTCTTTTCTGCATCTGCATTCCATTTTTCCTTTCAAATTTCTTTTGCAGGCATGATTTCTCCTCTTTCTCTTTGAATATATTTTATCCAACCATATCTGTTTCTCTGTCTTACATGCACTGTAATCTTTTCTTGAACCATTTCTGCCCCCCCCCCTTTGTTTATGCTGAAATAAAAAGAAAAAAAAATACCCAGCATGTCTTTCTTTAAACATGGCTAGCACTTGATAACAATTTTAATAGTTAAAAGATATTGAAAAGTTTTTAAAAATCAGAAAGGTTGCAAGAGATTCATTTCTTGTTAACTAAAACTAATCTGATTATAAATATTATTATTATCATAATCAAATCAATCGGTGTTCAAATGTTGTTATATTGCAAAAACATTTTTTTTTTTTTTACTTCTGTAAAAATATTGAACAAATTACCAAAAAGAAATTCATAATAGGTGAAATTAAAGTATTAAAAATGTTGCTTTTTGTTTCATCTTATAAGTCAAACTTTAGTAGATCTATATAAAAATAATTCCTTTAATGTTACATAATGGGGAGGCCATAACTAATTTTATTGTTTACGTATAAAATTTGCTGTTATCTTGAAAATTGTTTTGCATGATTACTCTCATGTTTATTTTTGAATGTACATGTATGAAAGAATGTGACCAAAAATTTTTTTTGTTAACAATATGAGCATTGATCTGTTTAAGTTTACAGTAAGAATATTATAAAAAAATATTCATATAAAAATACAGTCATTATTATTTTTATCCAAGGAGCACATAAATTGATCAATATAGATCGAGTCCTATACAGTAACGTTCTTTCGGATCTTATGCAGTAAAACCTCAATAGCATTTACCTTGATTTAATGTGGATTCATATATAAAGTGATGTGTTATATAACTATGTTATAGCAGGAACATCATACTGTACAATTATATACAAAGTGATAAGTAAAAGTTGATGAAATTGAATACCTTAGTTTAGTCTCAATAACATTTTAGTGATTTTGGCAATTGTGTTATAACAAGTCATTTTGTACCCTGTACTTCTGATGGGTGTCAGACATAATGTTAGAAATAAAGCTCTGCATGCCCCACCTCACCAAAATCATTAGATTGTTACAAATTTGATAATCCAAATTCTTTGGATGCTTTGTTATATGAATCATGGCATCTACAAAAGAAATAGAAATCCATACATGTTTTATTTTTCTATTGGTTTTAGCCATTATCAAGGATGTTTTTTTTTTATTTTTATATTTAACTGAATGTGTAGATTCAAATTGCAACTCACCTGCAAGATCCAAATTACAGAGAAGCAATATTATTTATGAATTCACATGTCCCTTAAGGAAATGTGTTTCCGATCAAACCAAATTTATATTGGACATACATGCCTATCAAGAAGATTCATGTTACATCTCTCTGGCCATCACTCAATTAGGACTCATTTAAACACACATGGAAACGTACCTCACTCCATCTGCAACATAATTGTAGAAAATACAACGATAATAGCTTCATCCACATGTAAAAAAAAAAGGCTAAAAATAATGGAAGCATTGATAATAAAAAAGAAAAAGGCAAAACTCAATAACATCAGCTAGGAACATGATCACAATGTGCTGAACAAGTTTAGAAAAAAAAATATTCCCATAATTTTAGATATATAAAAATCTAAACATTCAGTTTAAAAATATATATATATTTTTTTTTTTCTTCATTTATTATGCAGTGTTACATTAGAACATGCACATACTCACTACAAAATTGTACATCTTGTTTCAACATTAAAAATTTTTCTTTAATATTGAAACAAGATGTAGTTTTGTAGTGGGTATGTGTATGTTCTAATGTAACACTGAATAATAAATAAATATTTATTGCTCTACTTTTGTATTGAGCCCTGTTTTAAATTAATGTTTTGAACAATGAAATCTTACCTTTCGTTCTTTTACATTTGGCGATATATAGTTTGATCTTGAAGACAAAATAAAGCTAATAGACTTGCAATTTGTTAGGCAAACAACTTATTCCTCATCCAACTATTTCTATTTATATACACTATCAAATTTTATTATTCAAGTCAATGTTTTCACAATACAACTGGTATTAACCATCTAATGTTAGTAAAAACTTCAGGATATATTTATATAAGCAATATATCATGACTTTCTACTTAGCTATTATTAAAAATATTGATTTGTTTTGGGGATATTTTATTATGCAATCAAGCTAAATGCAATATAAATCTTTATAATAAATCTGAAAGATATAAACCATAGAAACATATATTTGATGATTACAGTATTCCTTATACCTGAAAACAATTATTATTCACATTTTAATATGGCCTCCTAGGAATCATATAAGCTTTATCAGTATTTCAATCATTGATTTGTTAACTTTTGCACTGTTTTGAATTTAACATTACTTGAAGCAGTTTTTATTGCTTCCCATCAATCTTCTTGAATACTGTTTTTCATTTTCATATTTTTCTTCTGTGCCATGTCCCTTCAGGATTGCCTTTAAACCATTTCACTCTCTCTGTTTTTTTGCCTTCAATATGTCCTGTGAGTGTCAAATTCTCCAAGCCCTCTTTTCTCATTATGTGTTCTAGAAATGAATCTCTTTTAATGTTAGACTACAAGATTGCTATTGAATTGATATCTGAAAAGGCTTGAGGTCATTGCATTAATTTGATTTTGGGGAAAACTTATTTTGCCATTGTGGGCAATAGTTTGCTTTGCTGGAGGTGAAGGAGCATAACTATATTTAGCTTAAAGTTTCTTGGTTGTGACTTATAAGTTCTTGGGCAATAATTTTTTTAACTTCTTATGCAAGAATTTATAATAATTTTCTACATTTAACTGCATCAAAGGACCTATAATTTTAATTTCTGCTGCACTAACACAAAACATTACTCTGCCTACCCCACACCACCATCATTGTCTTCTATGTCATGTTGGTTGGCTTTCTATGAAGGCTCTAACCTCTAACACAGCCATCACTAAAAATTACTGTTTAGAAATCAGTTTTCATGTACTTATTTACCAAACTTACACATTGGGATATTTACTTAAAGCTGATAGTTTGGTTGCTTTCATCTCTTTAGCTAATGTTCTTAATATTCTGCATTTTTCTTTTCTGTTTACATTTGCAAGATCAATTTCTGCAAATTCTTGTTGTTCAATCCTCTTTTTTTGCCTGTTACCCTTTCTTTCAATTTTGATCAAAAGTTATAGTGTATGTTCAATTTATTTTTTTTCAATTTCCAGTGGTTATGTTCCCATCAATTGGCAACTTTACAATATCTTGATTTTTTTTTTTTTTTTTTTGAGGTTATATCTTTCACAAAATCCATCAGTCAGTTATGTGCCATGTGTGATACATGCTTAGGCAATCATGTATCTTTCGATACATGACTCATGAGGCAGATTTTTTCCTGCAGTAGGTTGCCATTTCTCTCTGTGGTAGGCCTGTTGCCATCCAAGGCTATAGAACCTGGTCTGTCCTGCTATTTACTCATAGCTAGGGGAAGAAGAGGATTCATACCTTTCCCAAGGGTATAAGCACGTAAGTGAATGCAATGGATTTGACTGGAATTTGTACTCGGCTCTCAGAGTCCTCCATCTAAGCTGCTATCCATTACTTCACCATAATAATCCATAACAATCTTTATATATCTGAAATGAAAATTATATCCTCAAAATCCATAACAATCTTTATATATCTGAAATGAAAAATATAAATAACAATACTTTTATTTATATTTATTTACAATATGATGAACAATCATTGAGGTGCATAATAAATTCTCACACCACCCAAAAAATATTACAATATTTCTCATAAAAATAGATACCAGCTGGAATTTTCATGGTATATTTATAATTATATTCTTGTAATGTTTACTAACACTGGTCACTTAATCCCAATTTAATTGTGAAATCATTGATATGCATAATGTAGTTATGTTGTCATATGTTTTACAAATAAATGAATGTTAAATTGCTTTGAATATAGAACTCTATAAGAAATTTAACATCTAAATTTTTGCTTTTAACAAAAAAATTTCAAATTCTTTTTTAAGATGAAAATACAAGTTACTTTGACAGGAAATAATAAACAAATGGTCTCTATGGAAAGAAGGGTGGATAGGGCTAAAGATATTAACCTTGTAAAAGTATTTTGAGAATTTGATGGGATCACCCTCTTTCTCAAAGTCTGCCTATCATTATAAAGCTTTTAAAATTTTGTCAACTTTTAGTATTTTTAAAATCATTTCAGAACTCCAGTTTTTCTTGTACATTTTCATGTTTTATAGCTTTTAATGTAAAATTACGGGAAAATATTCCACAAAAATGTTTATTTAGGAAGTGTATTTATATTTCTTTTTTAATAGAAGAGGTTAAAAATTTTTCAGCATGGCTGACTTCATAAAATCTGACCAAATATCAGAACTTTTTACTGGAAGAGTTTCTTGGTTAGGCTAACAACTTTTCAGCACCCCTTTGTTTCTTATCTTGGACAGTTATCTATTTGTTCAGTAGGAAGATTTTGCATTTCACACGTACACACACACACTCATTTTATAATTTAATTTGTTTATTTTTTTTTCTTCTTTAGAAAAAAAATCTTCTAACGGTTTTAGATACTTTTAATTAATTAGCCCAGTTAATCCTGTAGCCATCAACATTTTAAAAAATCAATAATGAATTCCATCTTATATTTTGGTCTCATACAACTAAAAATTCATGAATCTTTTTTCCATATTTATTCATCTCATATTTTTTTATTCTAAAGTTTATTTTTTATAGTGACTGAATAGTAGAGGAGTGTTATCCACCAAAAAAGATTTGTTTGATTTTGTCAGCTGCCTGGAAATTTAGACAAAGATCTTAATTACATAAGAAATGTGAACCAATTGAAATTTTTGCAAATAATAATATTGTAACAAAAATGTACAGTTCTTCAAGAGTTTTTTCTCAATATTGTAATCGTATGGTTAAAGTAATTGTTTTGTTTCTTTACAAAATTTTCTAAATTGCCAACAGAATTCTGAAAATGGATGACAGTTTTGAGGAAAAATTTTTATAAAGAAAGTTAGTGTCAAGGTATATTTTAAGACCATTTTTATTTTATTCTCAATTTTTAAAAAAAAATTTAATTAGATGTATTCAACTATGATGAAAGTAGGATGCATTAGCGTGCAGAAGGGGGGTGCGATGGCCCTAGGCATCCATATTGGGAAGGCATCAAAGAGTGAAATGAAAATTTAGTTTATATTTAATTTGAATAAAGTGTTATTTCATGTTTCATCTGTTTTTACATATTTAAAATGTCTTCCTTTCTCACATTTCTCAGTACTAGGCCCTATAGACCCTCCCCTATCTTAGGGGTATAGAATCAAGGAGTTGGCCCCAAGTATCACCAAATCTCTGCACATCACTGGTGGGATGCCAATCTTAAATTGATAACTAGAAAGTTACTCACTATTAATAATATAGAGTGAGTTTGCTTCCTCACTTGGAGCTCCACTCCTTGTGCCATATTACGCTTAGTGAATATCAACTACAATCCAAATTTATTTCCTGTGGTCATAAACTCTGACTTGATTTTGGATTTTATTTCTTGTATTAAGTTCCTATTACTTAAATTCAGTTTTCCATCTTGTGTATCATAGTGACAATTTTTTTTCCTTTAATATTTTGTATAAAAAGCTGTTGATTATGAACAACTAGAACCTATCACATATATAAGTTCATAATTATTAAATATTTAAATTATTGAAGATGACCAGATGATCTGCTAAAATTCATTACAAAAAAAAAAAAAAAAGATTAAGATTTTAAAATATATTGTTTTGTCACAAATATTTTAAAAAATTTTTTTTTACTTAAGTTTAAAAGTTCACAGCCTTGACCCACTTTTAAACATCAGATTTATTTTTTCTTAAGCCAATAAAATTATCAGCAATCCTTAGCATTTATTATCTTTTCTATTTTTTAACATATTTTACATCACTTAATACTGAATAACCCTTTAAAGCCCATCAGCTGCAATATATATTTAAGGAAAGCCAAAGAATATATCATTTGGAAACATGTTAAAAACAACAAAGATGATGATACTAGTTTGATAAATGTGTGAGTTAATGAAAATACTTCATCTTGGAACTTAAAGAAGCAGTTAATATCTTACAATTATCTTGCTCACTCTCTTTCTTGCTGTCTCTCTCTCTCTCTCTGAGATATATATATAAACAAAAAATAAGTTTGTGTGTAAGTGCATTGCATTGTGTCAGTCCTTGTGTCTTTGTCTGTTTGTACTTCCCTTTGCATAAACCAAAAGACAAATGTTCACCAACTTCCTACCTTGATATCTCAGGTGAAAATCTACGTGCTTCTCGACGGAAGAAAAATATTAAGCGTGAGTTCATTAAACAGCATGGTCTCTGCCCACCCATCCTGAGTGATTGATGCTGCTGCTGCTGCTGCATATGATATTGATTATCATAATGGCAACAGTAATGGTGCTGCTGATGTTCCAACCATTGCTGTCGTCAATTTTTTTTTTTTTTTTTTTTTACTCTGGTACCCCATCCCCCCCACTGTCACACAGGCAAGCAGCATGGATGCAGTGTCCTGCAGATTTAACTAATACAACACCAAACACTTTATCTGACTTCTTGAGTATTTTTTTTTTAAATAAAAAAAAGGAAAATAATTTTTTTCAGCATTTTTGCATGACCTTTTTTTTCTGTTTTTGTTTTATTTAAAAAAAAAAAAAATTCATTTTTATCTATTTTTGTTTTTAATTTTTTTTTTAATAATTCATGCAATATTAAAAAAATAGCATAAAAATACTATGGGAATTTTATATATATGTATATATATATATATATATATATATGATCTTTGATCAGGTGTGATATTTTCCTTGTCTAACGAAACTGGTTTTAAGTAAATTTTGAAATTTATAAATTTATGTTGTTCATTGTCTATAAAGATGATCTGAAATGATTGATCCTTATTAGTTACTATGGATTTTGGTCAAGTGATATTTTGAAACTGAAATAAAAGTTTCCCTAAGACTTGATTATTTTAACAAACTTATGATTTGTATTGTCATGTTGAAAATTTCTTTTTTTTTTTAACTCATTAAGTAAATTTTAAAAAAATTAAACTTTTGATCATATTTTTTCAGTTGTCTCTGGGTAACATTACACCTGATTAAAACTACTATTTTTCCTTTGAAAATAAATATCTTTTGTTAGTTTTTTTTTTTTCATTTTTTATTTATATTTTTTTGTTTATAATCAAGTTGAGAATATAAAAAAATAGCTAAAAAATAACCAAAAAATTAAAATTTTAAAGAAAATTTTTATAGTTTTTATTTATTTTTGTTTCTTTTATTTATATTTTTTTCTTTTATTTTTAAAATAAACATTAACCCAGCCTTTTTCTTAATCCAAGGCTTCCATAGAATGAATCTGTGTTTAGTTTAGTTGTTCTCTGCGGTGTAGCCTAGAATATTATCAATAATCCATTGGAATGACTTGCTGTGGTATGGAATGATAATCCACACAAATCTCATGCAATAATAATAATATGCATGAATAACACGCACTAGTGATCATTACTAATATCACAAGTCATTTCCCCTACCCCCATTTTTTCATATTTTTTATGGTTAATTCTTTCTTTTTTCTTTTCTTTTTTTTTTCAGCACCATTTTTAAATTGTTCATATATACACTTAATATCATGTAGTTATATACATCTACTGATGTATTTTTCCTTTGTCTTTTTAAATATGTACATAATTATCATTTATTATTGTAACCATTATTATTTTTATTACAGCTGAAATTGTTGAATTAAATTTCTCTTACACTTACTACAAATCCTGTTATAATGCTTACCTTTACAACTATCATAACTGTTCATTTTCTCATTATCATCATTCTTATTATTAAGACAATATTATAAATGTTTCTATCATTATTTTAATTGTTATTAATACTGGTATTGTCTAAGCCAGATCCTTTTGAATTCCATGCAAAATGAGGCAGAAAAATATATCTTTCTGGTATTAGATTGTACAATTCTTTGTATCCAGTGCCTTTGACTAAGCAAGATATCTTTTGTCACCTTTTTAAAAGACATTAAAGAAAACTACGCAAGCATGCAATTCAGTGGAATTTAGCCTTGTGACAAATTTTCATTCTTTCATTTTTCCCCAAAATTAAAAACTGTTTGATTTTCATTATTCTAACAGAACTTAATTTTGAATAAAATAAGTGAGGGATAATTTTTTGAATGAAATTAAAAAAAAAAAAAGGAAATATTCCTGATAGCTTTTATCAAGTGAACTCTTTGAAAAGTTTGGTCAGGTCACATGACCATTTGTAAGCTGATTTGTTTACCAAAACAAAAAAGTATACTCTTATGGTTTTCTTCAGTATGTTACAAGAGTCCAATGAATATTTGCAATATATTGGAGTGTATGTATAAATTTATATATACAGACAAAAATATATCAGAGATATTTAAAGTGTCTAAAAATAAAATTCTTTGTAAATATATTCTGCAACATGTAAGGAAGTTATAAACCATATTTGGTTATTATTTTAAAAAATCACTAATATACAATCAAGTATTGTAGAATTAGATGCAAACTCCATTTTCTCATCAGTGAGAACTTAGTTCTAAAGAATCCTTTGAAAATGACATCAGATGTAACAGATATATAACAAGGTACAGCATCCCCCACCTAAAAAAAAAAAAACAAACAAATTCCACTCAATATTCCTGGCCGTGACCTTTAAATATAAAGTGTCTGAAATCTTGAAACAAAAACAAGATTAAGCTAACCAGTATATAACTGGATAAAAACTTAATAATAAACTTAATCTTTTTAGTTTTGATTGTTTTAATAATGTTTTAATTTACCCCCAACCCAAATGCTATATAAACTTGAAGAACATTTAGACTTTGTCAGTTCTGTTTTGTGACTCGATGACTTCTTGTTTTTTTTTATGGTTTTCTACAGCTTCCTTTTTATTGCTCTCAGTAATCATTGTTCCCAAATAATGATTAATGAAAATATTTCTTGCTTATACAGCGTTAAACTTTTAAACTTTAATTTTAATATGTGATTAGACTGAACAGTTCTTAGAATATTATACAAGTTTATGTAAGAAAGGTTAAAAAAAAAAACTCTTTAAGGTATGAACACTAATTTTTAAATATAAGTATGTTTAATTATCTATTTGGGCAGATATGCATCATATAAGCACATTAATAAATTTCTTCATCCCCCTCTCTCACATATACACACATGCACAAATAGTAGATTGCATATTATCTTGTTTGTAGTCATAAATTTTGTTCTACTGTTGTTTAGTTTTAAAATTCTGCCTGTTTTATAGTTTGATTGCATTTTTCAGTTTGAGCACATCACTGTAGATTTCTCTCACTTGTCATGGAAAAATAGATAAAATTTGTTGTGCATGATTCCATCCAAAGATTGCCGAAATAGCATGAACACACCTTTGGTTTGTTGTGTTTTTATTTTTGATTTTTTGTTTTCATTTGTTGTTTCATTTATATGTTTTATTTCCTTCTCCTAAGTAGATTATTTCTGATACCATTTTTTGTTTTAGCTCTTGTGGTTGACCCCACAATTGTTCATACTTAAACAAACTTGTAATTGTCCCACAGTATAAAGATGTTTTATTGTCTGTAGTTATGTTTATTTTGGTTCATAGCACAGTGTCATTTAGAGAGGTGAAAAAGATTGTTTTGGTTTAGACTTTCAAGGGGCTAAATCTATACAGAATACATGCAACTATCTCAGCCATTAAGCAATCCCTATAATTGTCTATATAGAAATACAAATCAATATTTAAATAGTGATTTCTAAACAAAAATAAAACATTCTTATTATACTTACTATTATTCAAGTGAAGAAAAGAAAAGTCAAGATTATGATGCTAAATTATTGCTCTTGTTTATTGCAGTCTGATCCTTTCATATATATATATAAAACAAAACCATTGATAGAACCAATGGACAACTTGCCAAAACCTAAAACTCTTATCCATATAAAGTCTCAAACAAAAATGACAATACTGAAAAAAGAAAAAAGTTCAAAAGGTAAACCTACCTAATCAGTAAAATAAAGTGTTTGAAAGCAAGATTACCTAGAAAGAGCAAAAAAACTCTTAACAACATTAAATCCTATGAAAGAACGTCCTAGTCATAATCTGAGTTTCATGCTCATGCAACCTTCAGGTGATCTATTTATATCTAATTTTTAAGGAATCAGTAGACTTTTTATCTAACATTTTTTTTTGTGGATACCTATTTTTGAGTAGATGTCCTGTTATTTTAAATAATGTGAATTCCATCTACCAGCCAGTGTATTTGAGAGAATTAATTAAGAAAATGTGCTGTCCAATAGGGTTCAACCTTTGTGGCAAAAATTACTGTCTGATCCAGCATACTTTAGAACACTTGGCCACAGTATATTTATAGGAGGTCTCATGGCTTCCAGTAGCCATTAACAACTTCCTCTCACATTGAATGAGACTGATATAAAAACAAAAATCTTTAATGATTTTCTTCATGGATATTTTTAGTTAAATTATTAGGATTACAAGTTTCAATTCTTTTGTTTTGCTTTTTTTTTTCTTAGCAAGGAACCTTAGAAGTATTTGACCAGTTTGACAAAAGATTTCATTTAAAGAAATGCACTATTATATTCTTCATTGCTCTTTGCCATTTTTTTTGTGGGTGGCTATAAATTCATTTTGTATTGAGGTTCATATTAGCTTGAATATAACTGGGTGATCATTTCGTTATTTATAGATTATTCATAGATATAATTGAAATGTAATCTTATTGTGGAGGCAATGACTAAAAAGTGAAAATAACTGCTCTTTTTAACAGAATTGTAAAGTTAAAGACAAAATTTATTATCTATATAATGAACAATGACATTTTCTCGAAAGAAAGTTTATAATTTCAAAAAAAGAAATTGTATTCATTGTAAGTTGTCTTCTGTTAACACATTTTATTTCTTGCTTCTTTTTCATATATTTTTGTATTTCCCTTTAACAGTATCTAAATTTCAACCCTTAGAAAATAAGTGACCATTTATAAAAAAATCTTATATATATATATATATATATATATATATATATAGCAAGAAGTTATTGATTTCTAGGCCAGCTGATAATAATTTCACCATTTAAAATAACAGTGATGCCAACTCAAACACACATACCCACTAAAAATAATATTTATAGTAGTAAATATATATTCTGAGTATGTTTTAGTTCTAATGCTCTTCATTCTTACTAGTTTAGTGTTTTATGCCTGGAATCATTCTGTCCATTATTTGTCAATAACTGAGCAGAATACAATCAGACAAATTATCCAATCAAATGTACACAGAAACAATGGGACAACCTTGTAGCAGTTTGATTGATGACTTCAATTTGGTCAGGATATTCTTCAGGTCTTTCTTATAGGAATAATGATTACACTAGTATTTCTTTAAATAGCTAAGTGATGGTCAAATCTCAAATTCAAGCTGCTGCTTTACTGAATAAATTGTTCAATTTTTCATAGAATAGTCAAAGGTCATTTACATTTACCAAACCCAAAAATGTGTTTATCTTGTATCTTCATTTAAAATTATATATGCGTGTTAGTAGGATGTAGAATATTATCTGAACAAAAGAAGTGGATATAATGAGAGAATGGAAAAGCTTATTGCAGACAACACATTTTGCATCTATATGCGAGATAAGCTTTTTCAGATTGGAATTTTTGAGAAAAGGGGAATAACTACTCTCAGATCCTATGACCAGAAAGTGTTTTTTTTTTTTTTTTTTTTTCTCTCTCATATTAAAGCCATTAACATCTGTTGTATTCGAAATTAGCCCACTCTGTGTAGGTCTGTTTTTATTTCTAGTAGCTTGTATATCGCATTGCATTATTATTGCTTTTGCGATGATCAATGATATTATGTATGAGCCCGGGCTGAGGTTTATCATTGAGAATTGTGAAATCAACGCACTTTCAATATATATGTATAGGTTAATATTAATTTTAAATTAAAGTCATTGCATGATTTTTAAAAAAGATATGTTTCTTTTTATTCATTAGATAAATAGTTTATTAGGATAATTTGGTGGTACCTTTTTTTTTTTATTTATTTATTTTTGTTGCATTTCTGCCACCACTTATTCCTTATAGCATTGCATTTTCCCCAATTTTAGATTGTCAATCTATATGCACATTTTTCTTATTCAAGGTTGTATGTGAAATCCTGCATCAGTCCCAAATTTTGCATATGTGCCCTTTTAGAGAGTTCAAACACTTTAGAGAAATACTACTTTTTTAACATTTTGATATTAAATAGTAATTCTTGAAATTTTAGATTTTCAGTAGTAACTGTAGTCATTGATTAAGCCCTGTTGATCTGTTCATTGTATTTCTTTGTTAAAACCTTATCTTAAACATTGATTTTGATTTCAGCCAAAGACTATGAAATATCTCGGGAATCAATTCGTCTTGAAGAGATTCTGGGAGAAGGACAGTTTGGCGACGTTTACCGTGGGCTGTTTTATGATAAGGTAAAAGGTTTTGATTGTTTTTACAGATTTTGCATGTTATAAAGCAGTGTAATAAAAATTTATTTTAATCGACATGTCTGAAAATAAATTCCAGTTTTTACATTCTTAATATAAAATACAAAATATCCCAAAAGTTATTTTATCCTAATAGTATAAAATAAAAAAAACAATGACTTAACAATATTAAACACGTATGAAAGCTGGAAAACAACTGTTTGTGATAAACAAGAACATTGTAGAAGAACAGTGTCCATAAAAAAGTATTAGGGTATGGTAACTTTTGGGCCACCCTATATAAATAAAGCATATTAACTGGACTATAGAAAAGGAAATTAAATAATAAGGAAAAAATTGAATTTAAAATTTCATTTAAAAATTTTATATTAGAAAAGTAAGTAACTTTTCTGTGGAATTAAATGTAAAGAGGTTTGTTAATTTTATATTTTAAATCTCACTGATAATTGTTGTCCTACTGCAAAATTTATATATAACTAGCTTAAAATCAGCCATATTGAGCAGCATTAAGCTAGCTCCTGTAGAGTGCTCTTGATTGGGCCTTCATCAAAATAGGTAGGAAAGAGTAGATGCAATAGGTAACAACAAACTACAGAAGAATTCAAAATTGATTGCTGAATTTAAGTATTTTATTAATATTTAAGCTTACCTTTTAAAAGTTTAATGATTATTCTTCTGCTCTCACTTAAAGACAATTTGATGTATGTAGGTCCTTACATTCTGTCCAATTATTTTTATTTCATGGGTGACTTTCACTGGATTTTGCAATTAATTTCAATTATTCCCAAATTTATTTCCAAGTTCTAAAAATTGTTATCATACAAAAAAAATTTGTCACAAATAATCATGTAAAAAATCAGGAAAAAGCAATCACAGTAATGAAAACTTTGGAATCTAAAATTTCAGGATTTCGGACTTGGAATATTTTTTTATTTGCGCATGAAGTCAGCCTGATTCCAAAATGGTATGATGTGTTAAGCTATTGCCTCTTGGACTAATGTTGAAAAGTGTGACACCATGACATTCGCATTTATTATATACATTTAAACATTTAATTGAAATATATCATCAAAATAATCAAGTGTTATAAAATAATACCCTCTTGATATAGTGGAATCTAGCATTCATTCTAAAATATTGTAATTTAAAAAAGAAAAAAAAAAAGAAGTTAATTAGTCCCCTGACTACTTGCATATACCATGAATTGGTGATGTTAGTATCAGTTTTGCTAACCAAATTTCTGCTTGTGTAAAAAAAATCTATGCTATGCTAATCCATGTATTGTTTTAACTGTCCAGCCAATGTTAAGATCAATCCCTCCCAATTTTTTTCGATTTTAAATCTCACTGACTATATTGATATGAATCAGTTAGAATTAATCAACATATATCAGTAGCAGTAGAATAGGTTTGAATAAATTTAGATAGGTTTGTCTATTACCTCATTCACACTTCTTCCTCATCTATTGAACAAGGTTGGAGGCTTATCCCTTGTTTTCTGTTCAGGATTGGGTTTCCAGTCTCCTTCTAAAGTCTTCTTATTCTCTTTCACTCCCAGTAATCCCTTGCACCTTAGTGGAATTATTGTCTTGCTTGGGATGAAATGATTAAAAAAATATTACTCTTGGGTTTATTGCTAGAGTAAGAAGACCCAGAACAAAGAGATTTCTTCAGAGATATTTTGTTAGTTGCTCTCAACTGGTTGTTTTATTTCTGGTTGAATTATTTATAAATTTTATTTCTTCTCAAATTTTGGAAGGAGTTATTTCCAATATTATTGACATTTTTCTTGTTTATACAAAAGCCTGAGAGAAAGCTGCATTACATAGCAGTCAATTCAGATATATAAAATTATTAAAGACTGATAACTTTCAGGCTTAAAAGCCAATCCTACTTACAGAGGATGTGCTGGAAGGGCTTAATATATATAGATCATAAAAAAATTAGTCATGGTATTTCAGATGAGATGGATTCATAAAATAATGTTTTTATAAATGATACTCTTAAGATTGATTAGACAATGTTGGTGGTTAGACACTACTAACAGCAGATGGTTAAAAACATTTTTGCTTTAGGCAGCTTTAATAATTTCTGATACGAGTTTTGTGGGATTGACAAAATTAGTGATTTTGTGTATGCAAGGGAGACAAATCATACCTGCAAATTCAAGGGAATTTTAAAAATATATTTCTATTTTTTTGAAAATATATCTTTTTGTAAATTTTTATTTATCAAATACAAAAAGAGTTCTAATTTATCTTAAGGATTGTGAACTTTTAAAATACACAAAATTAGTTTACATTTATATTTGTTCAATTTGATTTTGTCTTGTTTGTTAATTTTTATTTTGATTATTTCATTATTTGATTTCCATTTTCTTTTGTACAGGATGTAAAGGAAATTCCTGTTGCTGTGAAAACTTGCAAAGAAGATAATGAAGATTCAATGACTGAGAAGTTTTTGGAAGAAGCTTGTAAGTAAATTCCGTAGAGAGCATTGTACCATTTCTGTTTCACTTTGACTAAAATTTACAAAGATACATCATAGGTTTACAAATATAAACACAATACTAGATTGGCAGCTAGGACTCTTCATTTTACAGTTAAAATTGCTAGGTGTAACCATAAATTCTATGCTAAGAGTTTCTTCTCTTGCACATCTTTCTTGTAGAACATTTTTCTAGCTTCTTACTTTCAAATCAACTTTGATCTTCAAAAATTTAAATGCAGTGTCATCTTCTGTCTCCTTAGATCCTGTTCTTTTATTTTCATCTCTCCTTAATGTTTTTTTTTTCTTAGATTCTTTCACACTCAATAACCCCTTGCAATATTGTGGCTTTATTGCCTTGCTTGGGGTGAAATGATTAAAAAAGCATCTATTTTATACAATATTTATTTTTTTATATATAATTACTGTCCTTGACAAAGCACTTAAATTAATACTTCTCCATTAGTCATGTAGTTTGAATATTATACAGTGAAGATTTTAGATCAAAAGTCAGCTTTTAACACTGTCAGGCTACAGACTTATTGATCCAACCTTCAGATCAAAATTCAGCTAATAATTGTGATTTATTGATGCACCTTTGCTTGCATGCAGAAACCATAGTTAATACCAGGATAGTCAAGTCATACTTACAAAGTTCTTATCAAGTAGAGAAACTATATGGATTGAAATTGTAAATGGTGAAAAAGATGCAAATACCATATTTGAAATGGCTTACATTGAAATAAGTCTATTCCTTATGAAATTGTTTTCAATCTATGCTTTTTCTTTTTTTTTTAAGATATTATGCAACAATTTGACCATCCACACATCATCAAGTTGATAGGTATATGTTCCAACTCCAGGCCTGTGTGGATTGTAATGGAACTGGCCAAACATGGAGAGGTCAGTGTCTTTGATTTCTTCTCAGTCAATTTTGCTAAATCATATCATGTATTTTATCAATTGAATTAATGGTTAGGTTTAAACATGATTTGTCCATCGCAAATTTAATAGAATTACGGAGAAGAGTTTTTCTTCTTTTTTTTTTCTCCTCCCTCAAAGAATAATTATTTTCTGATATTCTTGGAATAGTAGCAATAATGCTGTATTTTTGTATCAACATTATCTGGATTTATGAGACTCTTTTACTATTATATTCAATGTTTTTGCTTTTCTTTTTTGACTTTTCTTTTTTGACTTTTCTTTTTTGACTTTTCTTTTCTGACTTTCTGTCATTCAAACATCCTCATTTTTTTCTATTATCAAAACAAAGGTGAGTAGGCTCATCAGAAGAAAATAATTGATTAAAACAACAATTTTTACTGTAAAAAAAAACAAAAAACATGAATGAATTTATATTCTGAAAATACAAAGATCTCCCATAGAACATTATTCTTTCTTTCTAATATCTACTATTATTCATTTTTATAATATTAGAATGATATATTAATATAAATATCATAGAACTGTTTCATGACAAATGGCATAGATTTATGACAATTATCTGTATGAGATTGATGCAGAAGTTTCCAGTAACATTTTTTGTACAATGTTAGAGAGATTTAAGAAATGTCTTTGAAGTTTACTCAGCTATTGTTGGTATTGTCAGTTACTTGTTAGATTTACAAGTCTTAAGTAAAATTTAGAAGCTAGAAAAGACAATTTTACATAACAAAATTGAGTAACAAATGTTAGTCGACACTGAAACTCTCGTCTTTCCCTTCTTGTTCAATAAAAAAAGTATTTTGTCACCAACAAATTCACTGGCATTTAATAAAAATGGATTAATTATGGGAATCCAAACTGAAAGAAATCCTGGCTAGATCCAAAATATTGGAATCTACTAGGGAAAAAAAAGTTCTGTATTTATTAGGATTCAAAAAGAATTATTTGTGTTCATTACTGTAACCTAGATAATCTACTACATTTCAACATTACAATGAACAATGATGCTTTGGGTGGGAAGCCCTTTCTCTGAGTAAGGAAATTGATTCTTAACATTATTGTATGATAGCATCTTTCCTTTTGTTGCAAATGGTAATAGTAATATTAGCTGTTCCTTATAAGGAAACATTCAACATTCATTGACCGAGCAACCAGTATTACTTTTGGTTGAAATTTATAAAATCTTTCACTTAAAAAAAGGTTTTCCAGGAAAATAGGTTTTTCAAGTCCACAGGCTGTTATCACTCTTTCCAGTATTGATAGAGGCTTCCCTCTTAAACTTTTGTTTGAAAAATGTTGGCTGTTAATATCTTGATTATGTCAGTATTTTCTCTTTGTGATGTCCATATAAGTTGTTACTGTTGAAATTCTTCAAATGATGTTTTCTGTTATTTGATACAGTACTTTGTGATTCTCTTGTGCTAGTGCACTTGATTCAAAAAAGGATGGTCCTCACTAAGACCTACCGACTTAATTCACTTAAAGACATTTTTAATCATTGATCTGAGAAAGTAGTTATATACATTTGACAGCTTAGATATTTCTGAATGGGTTTGATGCCATATGAAAGTCTGGAAGTTGAATGTAAAGTTCTTCCACATGTGGCGTATTCTCTGAACCTGTTTTGATCAGATTATCATTTATTTCATTCCATGCAACACTCTTTGACTAATCAACTGTTCCAACATTTTCAAGATAGTGAAATATCCTTGAATGATTCACAGAATCAAAACTGGAGTAACTCTTACCAAAAGAAATACTTGATTGATTTTGAAAGGTGACAAAGTCATGAAAAGCCAGGGAAAATACATGTTTGAACAGTGATGCTATAAATTTATATGAATAAAAATTTTAGCAAAAAATATGCTAAAAATTAGTGCACTAACTTAATATATATAAAACACTATCCCGTCAGTAACACAAGCAATTCTTTTTTTTTCTTTCTGATTTTTAATACACAGATTACAGATTGAATGTTGAAAATTGCAAAAATTAATTTTAGGTTAAAACAAATTGCAAAATTCAGTGTTTATTCATTGCAATTTTTCTTTTTGCCAGAAAGTTTTTGTGCAGAAAATATCTCAAGAGGGAAGTGGTTTTGTAATAAAAAAAGCAAAAAAATTGCTTGTATATAGAGGATACAAATATAGCCAGAACTAAAACACAATCTTTTTTTTTCTTTTCTCTTTCAGCAGAGCTTGCTGTGTCACTATAATCATGGGTGTAAAAGTTTGATGTATTTATTTAATAAATCCTACCCATGATATCAGCTAATTGATATTTTGGTTGGGTATTGTTATAAATTTTATTTCATTGTATTGTTGCTTTTTATCCCAGCACAACATGTAGCTATACTTTTCAGCTGCTAGAATAAATAGTGTGAAATCTGTAAAAAAGGAAATAGCCTCCAAGTCTTGAATTTACATCTCTTCTTCGGAATGTCTACTATAAATGTAACTATAATCACTTTGGATATGGAAGCATTGATTATTAAGTAGAGAACAAATCTGAAGATTTTTTTTCCTGCTACTTCTTCCTGTACAATTCTCTATGCTATTTGTTTTGTTACCTCATAATAATTTGTTTATTTTTAAATGTCTTTTCAATGAAGAAAACTGATCATCTATAGAAAAATTTCAGAATAAATTAGTTGTCTAATTCTATGATTTTTCTTTAATGCCATTTCTAGAATTCTTTTTTGGTGGTGAATGGAGTTATTTTATTTTTTATGTTAGCCCTTCCTTTCACCTCTTATATTGTGTACATTCTTGATAACAAAGTTGACCTAAGTTTTCTCTTTAAACATTGTCTAAAAAAACTGATAGCCATCTTTAGTTACTGTAGTAATAGGAGGTAGTAGTAGTAGCCTTATGATCAGATGTGGAACCCCTGCCTGAATATTCATCCAAGAAGATTGGTGATGATGTAATGAAAAACACAAGCAAAACTTAAAAATAAAAAATTATAATTATAGCGCCAATCTTCTATGTCCCTTTGTTACATGGTTTTTATGGCTCTCCACAACTTTCTATCTTTTGTGTCTTTTAGCAATGTTTGCCTTTTTACTCTCCCTCCCAATCCTTGTTCTTCCATCCATTTACACAAACTTGTTAGATAGGTTACTCAGTTTCCCTCTGCCCCTTTTACTGCCAATATGCCAAGTGAGTGTAAAATTCTCTAAGCCCTCTTTCCTCATCATGTGTGCCTGTTCTTCCATCCATTTACACAAGCTCATTAGGTAGGTTATTCACTGTTTCCCTCTGCCCCTCTTTCTTTCAATTTTCTTGTAAGTGTCAAATTTCTTAACTCTTCTTTCCTCATTTCATCTCTTTCTAAATTGTCCTTTTTGTTTCCATTTTCCTTAAAACTTTTTCATGGCTCATAAATTCCAGACATTTGAATTTCTGTACTTGTTTGATTTTAACATATCCATTAATAGCTCACATCTTCAGCTGGTTTCTCTTGCTTAAAACCATAGATTCTGTTTTGATTTTATATTTTGTTTTTTAAATTGATGGTGAGTTCTTCAAAGAACCAATAATTTTTCTATTTGGTAATTAAAAAGTGTTTTCATTTCAGATGAGGGCTTATCTTCAGAATAACAAACAACGGTTGGACCAAGTAACACTAATTATGTATGCGTATCAATTAAGTACTGCACTTTCCTATTTGGAGAGCAAAAAGTTTGTTCACCGGCAAGTAGATATTTTATTTTACTATTAATATATTTTACCAGTAAATTTCCAGTGATCAAATTTCTCAATTTTTGTTTATAACAAAACTCCAAATGTCTACAAATAATAAACAAAGCACATCTTTGCAATATACAAGTGTAAACTGATTGATAAAAATTATTGGAATGTAATGCACCGCTTATGATTATGCAATGCACCATAGGTTGAGCATATTCATGGTTAGCAGGTGAGGTAATTTAAACATTCTTTCAACTTCTTTTCTTACCTGCAGAGATATTGCAGCTCGAAATGTGTTAGTGTCAGCCAATGACTGTGTAAAACTTGGAGACTTTGGCTTGTCAAGATGGGTAGAAGAACAAAGCTATTATAAAGGTAAGCTGTTTTTTTTTTGTTTTTTTTTAATAGTAATGGATAGATTTAAATTAGCTCAACTTCAGATACCTTCATGTTGGCTATTCATTAATTTTTTAAAGGAAATCTAATGTATGAAAAGTCAGAAGTGTAGAATTGAAAATTTTATTAGACAGTATTGAAAACTTCAGTGTAAAGATTCCTCTAGCATGCAACTAACCAGTTTTAAATGCAATCCTTATATAAAAGAAAAAATTAAGCAATTTCAGAATCATAGAAAAATTAGAATGAGATGTAAAAATTAAATCTTTACTGATGTCATAATGCTAAAGAAATACTATACTTTAAAATTAGTGTACAGTCTTAACCAATGTTTAAGACTCAATATTTAATTTTGTAAAACACAAGACTGAGTAGTTAGAACATTGGTGTTCTGACCATGATATGTGGGTTTAAATCTCACCATTATTCTTAATAATGTGGGTTTCACCTCTTTGATTACGAGGTGTGTGGGATGTTTTATAGTAGCTATTTATGGGTTTCTGGAACATTTGTCCCACAAACAATATTGGCGGACTCATGTGAGTCCAGGTAAAAATAAATGACACAAGACAATGAATCTAAAACAAACAACAATGCATGTTGTTAACAAAAGGAATTACATTTGTACACAATTGAAAAGAAAGGAAAGGACATTGAAACTAGCTATGAGAATGTGATAAGATATGTGTACGTATGTACATGTGTGCAAGAGAGGACCATGAAAATGAAGGTGCCCCAGTGGGGGACATTTTACCCCTGTGTGACTACATCTGAAAGTAAGAGTTTAAAAAAGAAAGAGAATATGATCGCCTTTTTAAAGACTTTAAGAATGCTCTCTAACACATTTTTGGCGAAACGAAGTGGGGTAACCTACAATAGTATCAGCCTAGGGAAGATGATGCAGCATTGTTGCCTAACATAAGTGCCTAAAAATCATATTATAAGTTGGCACAAACCTTATGAGTGAAATTAGGTAGGTGGAACTGTTTAGAATCCATTAAGGATTATGCTAGCATGAATTCACTAGACATCATGACCGAGGGGTTGAGTATACTAGCTATATTCAAAACTGTTGATCATGACAGATTATGCACTCTCTCTCAGGAACTGTAATTTACACTCAGAACAACTGCAGTATAAACTGCAGGTTGACTCTGTAATTGTTGAAGAAATACAAATGTGTATGAGCATGCAACTGCAACTTGGATTAGCTAGCAATTGGTCATACTATGAAACAAGCAACTGACCATTTAGCACAAGCTCAGATGAGAGGAGAATGCTTGTGTCAGTCAGTTCTTTCAAATGGGGAGTGGGGATCTGTTTTCCTGCCCATGATAATTGGAATTAAAATACTTCCATCTGGGTTAAAAAAAATAAACCTCTGGTCCCTGTTGGAAATATGCATTTATTTCAGTCAGTAGGCAGGTCACATTTTGTTAAGAGAAAAATTTAAATAAAACACTGGAATGTCACACATTTAACCCTGGAATTACTTATACTTTTTTCTCAATTGCAGCCTCTAAAGGCAAACTACCAATCAAATGGATGGCCCCTGAATCAATCAACTTTCGCCGTTTCACCACAGCTAGTGATGTATGGATGTTTGGTAAGTATTAATAGCCAATTAGCTGAACCCATGGAAACAACAAAACTATCTATTATGTCTGTATCTTCTTATTCTACCCTTTATCCCTTCCAATCTTTATTGTCCATTCATATTTTTACTTAAATGCTATACAAAGATGAGTGAGTTTGATATGTAGAAAAAGAGTAAAGATTGTGGGCATATTTTCTACTGCATCCTTTCTTTTGTTCTATCCCTTAATAAAGGATTTTAATGTATCACATTTTTTCCATTCCTACTTGCAAGGTTTTGCTTATTGTCTTCATCCTTTTTTCATCTCTATACATATTTATATTTTATCCTTTCACCTCATTTTAATTTTTCTCAAGCTTTCTTGCATCCTGTTTTAGTTCTTACCTATTTATAAAGAGTTCAGTATTAGAAACAAATGTTTATAGACATAAACAGTATGAACATAAAAATCAACATTGCATGATGATTGTCAGTTTCACATTTTGATGTGATCATGATCTTCACACACACACACACATAATAGGTTGGTGTAAAAATAATGTCGTTTTTTGACGTTCAACTTCAAAAGAGAAAACAACATTATTTTTGCACCAATATAATATATATATATATATATATATATATATATATATATATATATATATATATTCCTGCTGCTACTACTACAAGCATGTTTTGTGGCTAATTATGTTTGAGTTGATGGCCTGTTTTTTTTTTTTTTTTTTTGTTTAAACAGTGTAGATTAGATCTACCAGCCTGTGCAATCAACTCAAGAGACTTAATAAAGAGACTGGCAGGGTATGAATCTGCATCTCTCTTTATAGAAGAAATTATTTTATTAAGTCTTTCAACTGTGAGCCAGTAGGTATAATTCTCATTGTTTAAAAAAAAAAAAATCTGGATGTCTCCTTAAACGTGTATCCACAAAATAATGTTTAGAGTAGTAAGAAATAATGTTGAATAAAGAATCCATTAATTAATTTATATATATATAGATATATATATATAGATAGATATATATATATATATATAGATATATATAGATATATATATATATATATATAGATATAGATATACACATACATATATACATATATATAGATATAGATATACACATACATATATACATATATATATATATATATATACATATATATATATATATATATATATACTCACATATCATGTGAGATTTGAAGATCTAATTTTTAAGCTAATTTGACTACAGTAAATGAATATATACTTTAGTCAACAGGGTAGCCAAGGCCAGCAGTACATACACTAGTTTTATATCTCATGTATGATGCAACTCCCTTAAAATTAGTTCTTCAAATGTTGCATGATACACAAATGTGTGTATATATATATATATATATATATATATATATATATATATATATGGCTCTACTCACATTTCCTCTTTTCCTGTCCCCTGCCCATGCAACATATTTGCCAATCGTTTCACAGGGACTGATTTACTCTCTCCCTTTTGAGTGTCCATTTGAATATCATCCCCACTATAAGTTAAACATCCTCCTATCTAAATCAGTCTAAGGGAAGGCATGCTTGACCAAGTTAATGAGAATATTGTTCATTTTTGAATAGATGAATTTTTAAATGTATTATCTTCAAATTGATTTTGACATCCAAACATATCTGACCTGAGTTTTTTACATATTGAGATAACTCATGGCTGACAATGTTCAAAGTTGTTATTTTTCCTATGCATGAAAGGGAGAAACAGAAATACTGGTAAATGGCTGGTTCCAACAATTATAGCCAGTTAAAGTACAAAGCTCAGTTTAACTTATGTAACGAATCATTGACTTATCTCCCTTTTGTTTTGACAATTGAACATTCAACAGAAGGAGGAGAGTTAATGTTTTTTTCTCATCCTCTTTTCCATAAGGCTTTTTTTCATTTAATAAATTTCGTTATAATTAATTTGACATGATTTTTTTTTTCTTTGCAGGTGTGTGTATTTGGGAGATTCTAATGTATGGAGTGAAGCCATTCCAAGGAGTAAAGAACAATGATGTGATTGGAAAGATAGAAGGTGGAGAGCGATTGCCACTACCAACTGACTGTCCCCCTTCTCTCTATTACCTGATGACTACCTGCTGGGCATATGAGCCATCCAAGAGGCCTTCATTCGCTAACCTCAAAACTTGGCTAGGGTAAAATACGTTTTGTCTTTTGTTTAAAATTATGAAATGTAAATCTGCTCCAAGATTTCTCTTTTAAAATAGACATTAGTTTGAGTCCTAAATAATTTTCTTTTGTGGGGAGACCAATTGTAATAATGAATTTTATTGGTACTATAGCTTGGACAGTTATAGGGAAAATGGCTTGCCAAAATGTTTACTCAAATGTTTACTTTTTTTCTTTTCTCTAAGATATCTGGTCATGAAAAAGAGCACAGGGGAAAATAAATTCATGCCTTTCCCAAAGGCATTAGTACTAAGTGAACATAAACATCCTTGGCTAAAATATAAACTTGGTAGTGACTATTCTTAAGAAAATGTTAAGGTAAATGACTATACTGACTAAGACTGCGTATTAGTATTAATCTTAAGAGAGTGTTGATATTAATTTCTTATAGTTAATCATATTAATGAATTATGAAGAAAATTCCTCCAAAGAACGAACATCCCATGCAGTTAATGGGTTAACAAACCAGCAACTCTTTTTGTGAATATCAATAAAATCTTCAGGAAAACAAACTTTTTTGTTTTTATATGCACTCCACATTGTTGTACTAAAAAAAATCAATTCTTTTTCCATTAATATAAATTGTTTTCACAGGTATAAATGCAGTTAATCAAGTCAGTTTATTTGAAAAACAATTGTCATTATGGTTACCTAAATTTTTCTTTTATCTTTGTTCATTATGTTAATCTAAATACTGTTTGTTTCTTGTAGGTCCATTTTACAAGAGGAAAGACATCGTAAAGAGGAGGAGATGAAAAGAGACAATAGGAGAGTACATACTATATCTTGGGGTAAGTGAAATAGACTTTGACATTCAGTAAAGAAAACAGTGGGTAGTTCAGGTGGATAAACTTGGAATTTTGGTACAATGTCATCTTTTCAGATGAGACTCCATTTGCTTAAATTTCAAACAGCAGATCAGTTTGGACATTGGCTCACTACAAATTGTTTTGATCCACCTGCAGCCCACTGTATTGAATATGTTATATTTTTGTTTTCATTTAAAATGTTTTGTTGTTGTTGTTGTTTTTTTTTTTTTGTTTTTTTTAAGCTTATGAAGTATGTGGGAGATTTTGTTTTTTGCAAAAATACATTTCCCATCTGTAAACATAAGGACTTCTCCCATATAGTCTCAGATGGTTAATTGAATAAAAACATTTTCATTTTCATGGAACAAAAGAAAAAAGATTCATGAATATGAAGCCATAAAATAGATTAAGTGAATCCCATAGTTAAGTCAGTCCTCTGATATAACTCTACTTGAACATGTTAAGATTGATTTGTTTTTTACAGCTTAACCCTTTTGAAGGTTATTTAAAGCCAGAAAATAATTTTAGAATAGTTTTAATGATTTACTGATACAAGTTCAATTAACCCATAGGAGGAGAAAAGATAGTTTCATGCCTTTTTCAAATGTATTTGCGTGTAAGTGAACACAAGGAACCTGAATGAAATTGAAACTTGGCTCTCCAATTTCTGAGCCGCTTTCCATTACACTACCCACATATTGATGCTTACAGCACTTGATATTCCAAGGTGGTCACACATCTAGGTTCTGACCAGGCTTGATGTTACTTATGTTATTCTATGAGAACTGGTTTTTCAACGTGATGTTAGCCAAGATTATTTTGAATCCTAAAATAAAGGAAATCGTCAGAAAAAAAATCTTCCATAATAGAAGGTTTTTCCTGATGTTTTCAAAGCTGTCTGGTCAGATACCTGTAAAGAGAAGACAACAGATCTGATAAATATGATGACCCAAAAACTTGACATTTTTAGCTAAATTTTAATTTGAATAAGATATAAAAGTGGCACTACTTAAATAGGCTGATTCACTCTTTTTTTAAAAAAGGAAAATTTATTTTTTAAATAATTTTATTAGATTAACATTCATTAGACACATTTGTCACAAATAGAAAAGTATTTGACAAACATGGAAAAATGTGCTAGCAATAAGATGTAATGTCAAAAGACAGTTTTTCCCATGACACTGCTTTTTTAAAATAACTTCACTCTTCAGTAATGTTTATTGTCTCAAAAAGTGATGATTGGAATTGGAATAAGACATAAACATCTGATAAAAGTGAATTTATACATTTTTTTGTTTTTGTTTTTGAGAATTTACAATAAAAATATTAAACACTATTAGATTATTTACAATAATTTTAAAAACTAATACAATTAGAACTTATGCAATATTTATCATTTACCAATTTATAAGGAAATAAATATGAAAACACTCTTTTTATTCATAAATTTACTAAATTGTTAAAATATGTGATTCAATTATAAGGAAATCCTTATTATTTACAATTTTATAAAGTTTGAATAAAATGGCAATTAGCCAATGTTTTGCCAACCATTACAAAAAATAGCATAAATAAACAATCTAATAAATAGTGTTTTTTAATTTTGTTGTCAATTCTCAAGAACAAAGAAAATGTATAAATTCACTTTCACACCTTTAAGTTTTACTAAAATTATAATCACTTTTTAAAACGATAAACATTGCCGAGTGGAGGTTGTTAAAAAAAGTGGTGTCATGGAAAATAACATACTTTTAACGCAACATCTTATTGTAGGCATGCTTCTTAATATTTGCCAAATATTTTTTTATTTTATTTGGTGGGAGGGGTCATGTTCATAATATCAATGCAGTGTTAAATTGACTCCTGAGGTTTTACAGTTTTATGGACTTAGCTTTTCTGTGTACAAAAATCAAACATTTTTTTACAAAAAAGATTTCTTTTAAGGAATTAACAGATATATACATTTTAAATTAAAGAACAAAAATTTACATGAATTAATAAAAGTATATATCCATTTATTGTTTATTTAGGGTAAATAATTATTATTCCCCAATGTTTGTGCAGGTGTTTCAAAAAAAATCATTTCCCTCAAAAAAAAAAAAAAAAAATTCTTAAAGTTTAAAAAAATTCAGAAAATTAAAAATAAACTATGTAAATGATGTAAGCACAGTTTCAATCTTTATAATTGTTAATAACAACTGAGTATAATAATTTTGTAAAAAGTCGGGGATCGATTTTGCACTGTATCGATATTATGAACAGGATCCCCACCTCTACATTTATAAAAATCAATATTTTTTAGTTCTGGCAAATGTTGTGGCTTGAGGAAAGTCTAACATGCTAATGTACAAAAATTATTTCCTTTTTAAAATTTCTCTATTTTTTTATAATTGGTAATTTTGGTAAAGTGGTCTCAAAGGTGTTTATTTATTTATTTTTAAATTTATTTCTGTATTTTCTTTCTTTTCCAAATAAAGTCAATTGTTTAAGCAGTTAAGTAATGCAAACAAGAAGAATAAAACAGGACTTATGGTTACATTTTTTTTTTCTTATCTGCAGAATCTAATGAATGTGAAGATGAACCACCTCCAAAGGTAAATGTCTTCAAATATTTGGAAATATTCACTTTGGTTTTTGTTTGAGTTTTGTCTTCACTGCCAGTGAAATTTTATGTTCTGCTCATACTTACATTGGTTTGCTCTGCTTAAATTAGTTTTGATTTTTTATTTCAATATAGATGTACGTTGATCCAGTAAAGTACACTAATTACTTTTGTATGTTGTATCATTAAAATGGTTGAACTCTTGATATTCAATGATTTTTATCCATAAATTTAGCAGCAATTAGTGTTTATAAAACTATATACAAAAAGCAAATTTTATCAGTCTAATTTTGGGATTTATTATAATTTATCTTTTTGATTTAATTAGGAAAGAAATAGAATTATTAGTAATAATAACTAAAACAGAATTATCTGTAATAATGGGCAAAGGAATAGAATTATCACTGATAAGGGCTAAATAATTGATGTAGGATGACAGATAAGAAAACAGATTATAAAAAATAATCTTCTGTAAGGATAAATAAAAAAGGAATATCAGATTATAGTCAATAATTAGGAAAGAATTAAAGATTCTACATGAACAACAGGGACATAAAAATGTAAATCCATAAAATTTTAACAATAATATTTAATAAAGTAATCAATGTATTTAAGGGAAGTAACTCTTCTCTAATATAAAGCTATAACTAAAAATCCGGTCAATTTTCTTAAAGCAAAAAAAAATTTCTTAATAAAAATAACTTTCTTTTTAAGTAATGTTCATTTTTTTTTTTTTAAAGTTAAATAGAACAAATTATAAATATTTAAGATTTATATCTGTTGTTTTTTTATATTTTTCCAGCCTTTAGTATATACTTCATATAATTTGTATTGCTACTAACAAAACATTATATTGCTAGTTGTCATGCATGCAGAATTTTTCTTGTTTAGCACTAAACAATTCCAATCACTAATACTTCACCATCAATCTCATCATGATCCCTTAAAAACCAAAATAAAACTACCAACCATCCGTTTTGTGATTGTATTTTTAAAACAATTCTGATTAAATTTTCCTAATATTACTCTGTTCATCCTTTGCAATATTTGTTTAGAACACTGGTATATTGATTCATTTGGACCAATTCTCCCTTTCCCCATAATGTTTCAACCACTACTCTTCTCTTCAGCTTTCTTCAGATGCCTGCAGAGCCGGATTAAGCTAGCGTGAGGCCTGTAACATGTGTTATAAAGTGGCCCTAAATTAAAAAATGCACATAAATATTAAATCATAAATTATTTACAAGCATAGTGATACAGCTCATAAAATATGAAGCAAATTATTCTAACAAGATATCTGAGTAGATTTGCAGGCTTAACTCTGATAGGAACTAATGTTTCAATATATGTTTCTGCTGAATACAATAAATGCATTATGCCTAAAAAAGGAAAATCATTTTTTAGATACAAGCAGTAGATTTACGATATAGTTTCAACTTTCTGTGTAATCTTTGTATTAGCAGGAGAAGCAGAAGAACCATTTTTTAACCTCTTTGGTTATATTTAGTGTCACAAACAGTGAGATTTGTCTTTCTTCTCACAGACTTTTATTCTTCTTTGACCATCAAGTGTGACCAGATTTTCACTTAGTTTCTCTTTTTAAAACTCTCCATGTAATCATCCCAACTTTACAACTACAGTGATAGACATGGCAAATAAATTGAAAAGTGTTCTCAAGATGGACATTTGCTGTTTCAAATACTAAACTGACTTTATTTAACAGTACATTCCAAAGATCACGTTAATCAAAGAGAAATTTTTGTGGGTAGAAAAGAGGAAAACACTGTTATTTCTGCTTTCATATTTACACAGGTTGTATTATCTGATTACATTGTACAAGTGACTTATGAAGATTTTATCATTGGTGTGTTATTTATAACAAATAGATTCCACAATGTAATTCAACCCACACAAATATTTTTACTCACTACCATTTACTACTGTTTGGAATATGACCCCTGTGGATCATAAAAAGGTTTGTCCTTCATCTGATTTCACAGACTGGTGCAACAGAATCGCAAAGAACTTCACCAAATAACAAAGACCACGTAACTTGAAGACTTTCAATAGCAGCAACAACTAAAATGGATAGTGCATGTAACTCAAAGAGAAAATAATGGCATAATCAAGATTACTTTCCACACTATCTTAAACAAAAGTTTAGAAAGGAAACTCTCATCAACACTAAAGTGGTTACCAAAGTAATCTTGATTATGCCATTATTTTCTCTTTGAGTTACATGCGTTATCCATTTTAGTTGTTGCTGCTTGGACTTGAAACCTATTTTCTTGAAAAACTGTTTTAAGAGAAAGATTTTATAAATATCAACCAACCTTTCAAATGGGAATGGCTTTTCCTATTTTCTTTGAAAATCAGCATAGCTTTTATTTGGGTTTGAACACCAGTCACAATCACTGGTATCAGATAAGAATGTGATAAGAATTAAATACTAGAGTCTTCTTACTAAGAAGATCCTAGTTTTTAATTCTTATCAAAATATTTTGTGTGTATAATTAATATAATTTGTTGAAAGTTTAAGTATACAATTTTTTCTATTGTTGCTTTTCATCAAAACAGTCTCTTCATTATTACTATTTTATTGCCAGTTGTTTGCTATCTTATTATTACTTTGTCTCGCCCCTTAGGTCAATACCATTTTGACTGTTAAAATAACAAGAATTGGAATAAAGAAGTAGTTTCTGTTCATGAAATTGCATACCCTATATTCTAAGACCTTATATAACACAGACATTTTGCTTTAATTGATTGAACCAGACAGACTACAGATAAAGAGTATCTCAAACTAAAGAGATAAATAATAAAACGAAAGAAAACCAAATTTGTCTAAGAAATTGGATAACTTAAGATAATTGTACAATTATCTATCAATAAAAGAGATTAAAAAATATATAAAACTAACTTCTTTGAATTAGTATGAATGAGTGGTTCATTAATGTGATATCAGATTTTGTTTAATAGAACAGTTTCTCTTAACTAAAATCAAATTATGATACATTAAATTACTTGGATTAGTTCCCTTATCTTGATTGCTGTAGTTGATTCAGCCATTGTAGCCTCTGGCCATCTTCAGATGTCTAGTAATTTTGAGCCAATATCCTTTAACCAGGAGAGTATATTGTTCTTATTCCACTGTTCATGTTTGAGAATATCTTGTATCCATTAATTTGTCTTTGTGATGTCACTCTTCAATTGGATCAGAATATGTGACTTTTTTGCCACACTCTGATCCCAAAATTGAGAGTCATAAGCAAACAAATCTGAATTTCTGATTGGTCATAATTCAGATCTTAATGAGGTTGAGATTGAAGTTTATATAACTCTCATCTCCTCAAATTCTTTCAATAGATGTTTTTTCTAAATTGTATGCTAGAAATCTCAGGAGAGATTTACTTCTTATGAAAAGAAAATAAAAAAAATAAAAAAAATAAAACAAATTCATTGAATTGCTAATCATTTTAATTTTATTAATCCCAGGCTTATAAAATTTATGTCAGACAAACAAAAACTTATTCACTCATTTTATATTTTATATTTATAATTGGACTATTGTCCTCATATTTGTTGTTTTTATCACAACATTTCAGCAGTTGTGCCCTTCAGCCTTTATCAGGTTTACAATCATTTGGGTAACCTAAAAGAAATTTTGAACTGAACCCTTTATTTTATCTATAGGAGTAGACTGTTCTCATTCCACTGATCAATTTGATGGCATAGTAATTGTGAGTTCAATTTCTGTGTCGGGCAATGCGTACTTGGACTCTATGGAAACAGGTGAGCAATAACTGAGTAGTACTAAAAAATAATAGGAGGCATGGTGGTGTAATGGATAACGGCTCGGATTGAGAAATCAGAGAGCTGAGTTCAAATCTCAGTCAAATCCATTACATTCACTTACATGCTAATACCCTTGGGAAAGGTATGAATCCTCTTCTTCTCTCCCCAGCTATGGGTAAATAGCAGGACAGACCTGGTTCTATAGCCTTGGATGGCAACAGAGAGAAATGACAACCTACTGCAAGGAGAAATCTGCTTCATCTCTCATGTATCGAAAGATAGATGATCGCCTAAGCATGCATTATTCATGGCACATAACTGACTGACTAAAAATAAGAACTAGACAAGATATCCCTAGACATGAGCAGAACTAAATAATACTAGCCTCCTTTCCATTCAGAAGAATAAACCACAATAAGCAACATTTACTTCTTTTTACTTTTAATTGCTACAGAATCATTTTTAGAGAATTGGATTTTGAGAGTGAAATCATACAGGAGTATATGTGAAATAATAAATTTATCTCAGCAACAATAAATTGGACAACATATCTAAAGTTTAATATGAAGCCTTTTAATGTACTTGAGAAGTTTAATTTTCTGAAAAGTAAGCATCCAGTTGTCTAGGGAGATAAGATAGCATTCTGTTTGCTTAAAATTCAGTCCTTTGGTGCTTCTACAGGGCACAGGTCTGGGCAATGATATAAGGAAGCCATATGCTACCCAGACCACATACACCCCCCTCCTACTTCTTGGTCATACCAACAAGATCCAAAGGAATACAGGACATTATATTTAGATCCATTTTAACTGCAGGAGTTGCCAGAAGATTGCCAGTGTTGACAGCTAAGTGCCTTTGAGGGGTCTCTACTCCAGATTTATTTCCCTAGCCTTTCCCATGTTTGGAATGGTGGCAGAGGTTTAAAATCAAGGTTTTCCTTCCCCCATTAACTGTTCGGTCAGTGAATACCAAATGTTTTCTTATAAGGGAACAGCTAATTTTACTATTACCATTAGGACTAACATTGAAATTCTTGAAAGTTCTTTCATAAAGTCATCAAATGTTTTCTTTGTAGTGCAGTTGCAAGAGTAGAAGTGTGATAAACTCTAAGTCTGTAAGTTCAATTTCTACCAGTGGCAATTCCTTTAGTTTAATTCATAATATTCTATCTTTTTAACTTTGTCATATAAATGATAAAGAATTTGTTAATTTTTCCCAAAAAATATTTATTGTATTTGTTGGTAGATAAAATGCATGTTTGACAGGATATATTATTTAACTTATGTTTATCAAAACTAATCTTGAAACTTGACTGTATGGCTTGATATTTTGTGATGAACCTCCTGTCCATAATACCAGCATATTAGAAATAATAGAAATTTAAATAATCCTCTTCCCAGAAGCATGTGCATCTTAAAGACTAGCAAATATGGTTATTTTGACTCAGAAAGCAAATGCACCAAATTGACATTTAAAAAAAAAACAAAAAAAAACTCCCTCGCTCATTTATTTAAACAAAAAAAAAAAATAAATAAATAAAAGCATTCTTTTTTGAGTGCTGCTGATGATAAAAATCTAGAAAACCCAGCAGTGATGAGGGATGATTCTTGATGGTTGAGGTGGTAGTGTATTTATAGCACATTGTCAGTGTTTATGCCTAGATAAAATCTATGATTATGAATAATGATTTTCAAAGCAGGCAGTGCAGGCTAACTTACTTTATTCTAAAGATTAAAACAACACAATATTCCTACCTTCATCGAAGTGTATCAATTTACATAGTATCAATATTAACTTTAAGGCCCTGCTTAATGGATTAGATACTTACAATGGTGCCAGTATCAATGTTCAAACCCTTGTAAAAGAGCTAGTATCATAAATGCTGAGTTTCAAGGTAAGCAGGCCCAGTTGTAAAATTTTTATAACACAATCTTTCTACTCTGTTTGGTCTTGTGCCATAAATAAGTTAATCTTAGAAAATGATCAGTTTCCTTTTAGAATTGATATTTTAAATACTAAAATACCTGCTCTACAGACAGAAAATTAAACTGTTGTAGAAGTATTTTTCCTATATAAAATTTCTGTATAACATCTATTACCTCAAGTTCTTTTTGCCATTATGCAAAATTGAACTTTTTACCCTGGACATAGGTACAAAAACTCATCAGGAGAAACATTTAAATAACTTTCTAATGTTTATTATTATTATTAACAATATTAATAATGTAAAGTGGTGACATACAAACAAAACTTAGCCTTATAAGAATTTATTAAATATTAATCTTTTTTATTCCATCTTAATGCAGCCATATGCTAGACTAGATTAAACTGTAAATATTGATAGAATACTCAATCAACAGGGATGCCTTCCACAAACACAATTTTTTTTTCAGTTTCTAATTTGCGAAAATAATTCATTATCATTTTTGTGCTTGCAGTTTTTTTTTTTTACTTTTGTTTCTGCTTTGTTCAATTTTCATTTGAAAATGTCCAAAAAAAATGAGTGACCAATTCCTTCATTATTATTTAGGGTTTCACTAGCCCTATCTGACAAGCACCACACCTGCAAGTGATATTACCATTTGAGCCCTGACAATTGTTGCATGTTGTTTGTCTAATGCCAGTACCTATTTTGTTTGCAGCCTGCTCGCCCCAGTCACCCTATGTCCCCTACCGGTTCCACTCCCAACTTGTCCTTTGACAGCACCGATTTTCAAGTACAGCATCAGTGGAACAGCACCACGAATCTTCCAACCAATTATGGCACCCAAGTTCTCCATGCCAATTCTCTTCCAATTGGTAACAGGTTTGATGGAATCCGACGGGGGTTCTTCTCAGCTACAAGTGGCTACAGCCAGCTTCCACCTAAAATGCACCCAGCTGGCATGTCTGTGGGCACAGGCATGGATGCTGCCATGACAGGCCCACCTTTTAGCTCTGCCCAAGATGCTCTACAGATGAGACGAAACCAAGAGTTGGCTACCCTGACTGCCACTGGACATTACCAAGTGCCCTCCCCCAGGGATTCTCAAGTGTTTCCGTCTTCACCATCTCCACAACCTCAGTATGGGACAAATGTGAGTTGAGGAGACTCAAGTCCCTATTTCCTACTCTTCTTCTTTCATCACTTCTTCTTTTCTTTCTCTCTCATGACATTTCATATTCTTATGTCTCTATTAGAAATTGTAGTTCTTGTTGCATTTTGTTGTTGTTGTTGTTGTTTTCTAATTAGAGTTCATGATTTTAAAGATATTATCATCTCCATTTTTTTTTAATTATTTTATGAGTAAATATTAACTCATTCATTTATAAACATTTTTGGTTGTAAATACAACTAATCATCTTCATTTCATACAGTTTCCTATTTTTAACATCAGTTTCATTCATTTTCTCAATTCCCTTGTAAACACTAATTAATAGAGCCAGTGATGATGGGTAGAGAAATATTTGGACATTTTCAAAACATTTAATAGACTTACATTTACTTGACATTTATGAAGGTGATATATTTTGATACAGAATTAACAATTGCTAAGAAAAATGTACATGCTGAAAAGTTCCCGGTTTAACCTACTTCCCAAAATTTGATCAAATATTGAATTTTTTTAAAAAATTCTTTTTTGGTCAAGCTGTGAACTTTTCAGCACTTGTACAATAGAGAAAAAATAAACAAAAATGTGCAAATTTAAAATAAATGTAAGCATTAGCAGCATTTTAAATATTTTGCAAGTGTCAAAATATTCCCCCCAAGTGTGAATATATCTCTTTCATTTCATTCATTTTCACAGCCTGTGAGTTTTAATCATATCTATTCTATTTATTTGCTTATGTAAAATGTTTTCTAAGTCAATATGCAAAATCCATGGATGTGTGAGAGCTGTAATGGTTATCTGTACAGAAAGTGGAATCAGCATACCGAGTTCAAATTCTAGCCTAGTCTATTGCATTCACTTTCATACTTGTCCATGGAAAAGGCATGAATTCATCTCTTCTCCACCCCAACTATGGGTTAAATAGCAGGGTAGACTGGGTTCTCTAGCTGTTAGTGGCAGCCAGTATATGACTATCAGAATGTAAATATCTGGAGAAGGCAATGGAGAACCACTATCTTTTGCAAAAATGCATAGATAATAAAGAAAAGGAAGACGTGGAGAGCCATGATCACTTATGTTCTGAAGAGACATGGCATTTAAAAAAAAATGAAATATTTTTCTATGGCTATTTTATCTTGAAACATTAAGAAAAATGTCTTCATTCATTTTTTTTTTTTTTTTAATATTGTCAGTCTCTTTTCATTCATCCACTGTCCTCATGTATTGGCATTTTTTAAGACTAGAAATGTAAAAAATTTCATTCATTTTTTAGCATTTTTTTTCTCCATTTGTTCATTTCTCATTCACTCTATTGTGTATTCCAAAAGGTCATCATCATCATCAACAACTCCCATTCTCATGGAGAGGATTATCACCTATCTTCACAGTTGATGTGTCTGAAGATGGCTTGTAAAGCTAATTCTTGTCTGGAATTGTTGAGGACAATAATGACAGGCAATTATTCCTGAAGGATGGGGCGTCTCTGCCTGCCATCTTCACTCTTGTTTCCTTTCTTGAATGTAGTTCTGTCTTGGATGGTACCCCACCAGTGTTTGCTGTCAATGACTTCTGCTTCCTAGGTTTGGTGATCTAGCTCAGCAACTTTTAGTCTCCTATACTTGTCTTTGTATCGGCATGTCTGCCGTATAAAGCTATTTCAAGAAAAAACCAACATTTGTTTGTATTAACAAAGAACAAACAACATTCTTTTTCAAAAACTGCATTCCCCTCATAAATGTTCTTTCTAAACAGATTTGCATAAAAAGGAAAAAAATATTGCATACATCTGATTCTTTTCCTTTATTTCTTTTTTTACGAAAAAGTGGTCCTACTAAGCAGTTATTTTCTGTGATTGATATCCCATTTAACAGAGATGTTAACTGCTTTATTAAATCTGTGGAGATGCAGTGTTAGCCCAATGACTATCAACTGGGGGAGGAGAGAGGAAATCAGCAAACTAAGGTTGAATTTTGACTGAGGTTATTTATGTTCATTTAGCACTAATGTCATTTGGAAAGGCATGAATTCACTTCTCCCTGTACTTTATTCCATTGTCGGGTATCTTGACAAGAAATGTCTTATTGCTGGTATGCTACAATAGTTGAAAGAGAAAGTGTGTTAAGTGAGTACTTGGACAAACCACTCATCCATAATTACCTTACTGCCCAGAGAGTAGTAACAAGTAAAAGGCTGTTATGTTCATTGTCAACCTTGACTCTTCATAACATATTTATTCTTTTCTTCTTCCATTTCTGACAAGTAAAAATCACATCATCCAATTCTTGTGTGTACTTTAGTCACATTTTTTAAATTTTTCTCAATAATAATATCTTGTTTAATACCACAGATTTGCTTGTCAGTTGCCTGACCCTAAACAGTTGGGCGTGTCCCTGATAGATTAACACACTGAGTAATAGTAGTAGTAGTGAGGGCAGCATCATGACTAGGTGCCAAAAGGGTTTTATTAGTTTGAAGGGTCAGGCAGACAAGTCGACTTGGGAGTAACATCTAGATACTTGGGAGCATTCCCAATCAGAAACTGCCTGAGCAGACTAGGTTACTTGATATGATAGTATTTCTAACTGCAAGGTTATGCACTGCTTTTATCAAAAATTTTTACCATATCATACACAATTAGTTGTGATGCACTTGCCTGGAATACCCTTATCAGAGAGTGTGTTATAATGGGTAGATTTGGTTTGTATATTGTTGGCATGATGCTCTCTCACTTAATAATAATAATAATAATCATTTTCCTTTTCTTACTCACTTTGTTATCACTTGACATAATGTCAACTCTGAATTAAGTTTCCTTTTTCTCTGAAACTGATTTTATGTTGGTGTTTCTATTTTATTTAGAATTCCATTATTTCTTGTCTTTATCACTCAAACAAATAAAACTGGAACATTTTTTTTTTATTGGTATCTCTATGTCCCCTTTACCTGAAATGAAAAGTCTTTCTTTGGTTCATCTTGTCTTGGAAAATATATTTAAAACATTTACTAGCAATTTAATCTTTTCTACAAGAAAAAAAAAGTTAAAATAATGATAATTAATAAGAGAAATATAATCAATATTTTCTATGTCACATTTTAAAAGATTATCCTTATTTATAGTAAGTGAAGTAAGCAAATGACAAAATTCTTTAATGACTTTTTTTTTTTTAAGAAGGAACTTCTTCAAGCTAATATGGAGGAGGTGCAGCTTAAATGAAAGATTAGATGAATATAAAAGTGATCTTTTGCAAAACAATACACTTAATTAGTCATTATTCAAAATAGGCTTGACCATAATTTTAACTTAAAATGGTTTTGATTAAAAGAGTAATTTATTAACACAAAAATATGTTGAGAATGCTCTAATTTCAGAATCCTCTAAAGTAAATTTACATCCAGGATCATACATTTTTTTTTTTCACAAAATTACTGCTATAATTAAAAAGAATAAAAAAACTGGTGATCAGTTAAGTTAATTATCTTCATATGTTGGGCATCAAAATTTAAGTCTGTATCTGAAATGTTTTTCAATATAAAACTGTAAATGCCATTTGTTTGTATTTCATCTAAAATATATATATATATATATATATATATATATATATATATATTTCATCTAATATATATATATGTATATATATATATATATATATATATATATATATATATATATATATATATATATATATATATACATACACAGGGCCAGATTATGACCATTTGTGGCCCTGAGGCTAATGAAATTATCAGGCTCCCCTAAAATGGAGTTAACCTATGAATATTTTTTACTTGTAATATATTTTAGCAACATTTACATGGATTGATGTAAACTTATTGCAAATTCTTTAAATAGAATAGAATAACTATCTTTTTATTTGCTAATAAAAATATTCAAGAAATACCAACAGTTTACTATTTATTGCAAATCAAATTAACACTTATTTCAACATGACTGTAGTACAAAAATAGATTTTTTATAACCAGCATTATAGCAATAAAACAATCAAAATGAATACGCGTTTGTCATATTGATATCATTTCAGATTATGAATCTATTTAGAAGTTATAACATCTAGAAAATTAAAATCATTGCTTTATAAAAGCTTTAAAGGCCCTAGGCTGCAGCCTACACTAGCCTAACAGATAATCCATTATGTGTGTATATATAATAACTTATCAATTTTTGATGTTGTTTCCCTAACTTTGAAGTTTCTTGGAATTTCCCAGTATTCAAGGAGTCTGTTGTTTCAATTTTTTTTTTTTTTTCAATTTTTTGTGCATCTTTTTTAATCCGTTGTGTACATGTGCACAATCATGAGTTTTACATTTTTTACATGTACATGTTTATGAATTGTTGCTTTTGTTTACGTGTTTGTTCGTAAGTGTCATATTTTTCAATTACAATTTTTATATGTATAATTTGTATTGAAGTTATGTTGTTAATGAAATTATAATATTTTATGTTGTATTATGTTATTATTAAAGTAACAAAGTAAATATTTGTTAAAATGTCTGCATTTCAACAAATATTTACAATTGAAAAAAAATTATGACACTTATGAATGAACATGTAAACAAAAGCAACAATTTATGAACATGCATGTGAAAAAAACCGTAAAAATCATAAATGTGTGCATGTACACAATGGATTAAAAGAAGAGATGAAAAAATTGAAAAAAAAATTTGAAATAAACTTATTCAAACAACAGGCCCCTTGAAGACTGGGAAATTCCAAGAAACTTCAAAATTGAAGAAACAACATCAAAAATTGATATTTACAGTTAAGTAATTTTCTATATATAATATTATCAATGATCTATTTTTAATAATATTTTTAATATTGAGAACTATATGAAAATCTATGCTTTACTTTAGAACTATTATATTCTTAAATCTTATATAAGATTGACAAACCATTATTAGTCTGAAGGAGTTCTCTCAGATTGGAATGTGACATTAAAATATTTTTTTTCTGCTTTATTATTCAC